GCATGCAAAACAAATTTCTTGGTAGAGGGGTCTAAATACAGCACAAACAACATTTTCCAAAAGACCAAAAAAGTGAAAAAGTATATTTTAACAAAACGCATTTGACTAACAGGTCGAACAACTGATGTTCTTTAACCCTGCTGACTGCCATTGGCGATTGCCAAATAAACGGATCACAAGATGTAACAAAATGGATCTTTAAAAATTAATATCTAATACCAAACAGAAAACAATAAACTTGCGGAAAAGATGGTATACCGCAAACAAAAGGTGCAAAAATTAGTACACCATATCCGGATTTCGACAATTAATGTCTCTTCAGTGATGTTAGGGATCGAAACAGTATTTGGAAGGCCATAAAATTTACCTCAATTTAGGATAGACTCTTGAATTTTAAAGAGTCGAAATAGGATGAACGGATCATATAAACCCGAAGGAAAATATAATACAAGCCCAAACGAAAAAATATAAACAAGTCTAAATTGAAAACGACGTTCAAACCTATGATTGCGTTGGATAAAAACCGCAATTTTTATACGTGTGCATGCAAAACAAATTTCTTGGTAGAGGGGTCTAAATACAGCACAAACAACATTTTCCAAAAGACCATAAAAGTGAAAAAGTATATTTTAACAAAACGCATTTGACTAACAGGTCGAACAACTGATGTTCTTTAACCCTGCTGACTGCCATTGGCGATTGCCAAATAAACGGATCACAAGATGTAACAAAATGGATCTTTAAAAATTAATATCTAATACCAAACAGAAAACAATAAACTTGCGGAAAAGATGGTATACCGCAAAAAAAAGGTGCAAAAATTAGTACACCATATCCGGATTTCGACAATTAATGTCTCTTCAGTGATGTTAGGGATCGAAACAGTATTTGGAAGGCCATAAAATTTACCTCAATTTAGGATAGACTCTTGAATTTTAAAGAGTCGAAATAGGATGAACGGATCATATAAACTCGAAGGAAAATATAATACAAGCCCAAACGAAAAAATATAAACAAGTCTAAATTGAAAACGACGTTCAAACCTATGATTGCGTTGGATAAAAACCGCTATTTTTATACGTGTGCATGCAAAACAAATTTCTTGGTAGAGGGGTCTAAATACAGCACAAACAACATTTTCCAAAAGACCAAAAAAGTGAAAAAGTATATTTTAACAAAACGCATTTGACTAACAGGTCGAACAACTGATGTTCTTTAACCCTGCTGACTGCCATTGGCGATTGCCAAATAAACGGATCACAAGATGTAACAAAATGGATCTTTAAAAATTAATATCTAATACCAAACAGAAAACAATAAACTTGCGGAAAAGATGGTATACCGCAAACAAAAGGTGCAAAAATTAGTACACCATATCCGGATTTCGACAATTAATGTCTCTTCAGTGATGTTAGGGATCGAAACAGTATTTGGAAGGCCATAAAATCTACCTCAATTTAGGATAGACTCTTGAATTTTAAAGAGTCGAAATAGGATGAACGGATCATATAAACCCGAAGGAAAATATAATACAAGCCCAAACGAAAAAATATAAACAAGTCTAGATTGAAAACGACGTTCAAACCTATGATTGCGTTGGATAAAAACCGCAATTTGTTTTGTTAAAATATACTTTTTCACTTTTTTGGTCTTTTGGAAAATGTTGTTTGTGCTGTATATATATATATATATATATATATATATATATAGATTCGGTTGAAATTATGCGCAGACAACTGGTGAATTATTGTAATACTAGTAACTTTCAATTGTGCCTAAGACGATACCAAGGGGCCAACAAGTCGAAAAAGACTGACAACATCATGACAAGGTCGCAGATTTCTTGATTGTTTCTGTAAAATTTATTCACAACTTTAAAAAAAACTTGGGACGATTTAATGCATGACATATTTCATGGAATCCTGTTCTAAAAGGGAAAACAGTTTTTGCTCGACAGGCATGTGTCATCCTGTTCATGGCAAGTAAGAATTTGTTGATAAGTATCATTCAATAATGTTATAAACGAAGAAAGGAGGAGAAAATTACTTATTTTGCCAGCTATTAGAAGAATGAAAAATAATAAAAGTCCGGGGTCAGATAGTTACACAAGTGACTTTTTTTATGAGATGAAAGATTATAAATGTGTTTTACAGTCATTCAAATATTGGTATGATACGGGAGCAATGGCAGTCTCTCTAAAAGGTGAATACTCATTAGTATACCTAAAGGGGATAAATCAAGACAGTATACTAGTATACACAATTGACCACTTATAAGTCTTTTTTAAAACACAATTGATCAACTTGGGGTAAGATGTATTGCAGAATGAATAAAGTTTGTCTTATCAATTCGAATAAATAATATTCGTATACAGGTTGATTTATGATGCATTATTGTATTTCTCAGAGATTTTGAAGTTTTAAGAGACTACAGACAAGGGAGTCCTCTATCATAATTTTTATTTTATTATGTGAAGAAATACTTGTAATGTTTATTCGAAACAAAAATAAGATTAAAGGTCAGAAAATCTTACTTCTCAATATGCAGACAGTACTTCACTTGTACTTGAGGGATCATCAACTTCGGAAGTTCTAGGGGTTTAACATCAGGTGTTTTTAAAACTGTTCTGAGTTTTCACCTTTGCATGTTGCAAAGGAAGGTTACTTCGTTTGATCCCTTGTATGTCTTATTTGAGTGTTTCATTTGTATGAGGTCTTTGCTCTGTTTTGCAAGTGTTTGGTTCACAGTGCTAATTTACAATAAGGAACACTACTAGTTCGTAGAATAAAAATAGGTGTAGTAGAACGTAGAATAGGTGTTTATAAAAATTGAGTGTATATTTTTTTTTAAGTTTAGAAAGACAATTAAAAATCAAAATCTCGTAATATCAAGGCTAAAGTTGGTGTGGAAACAACATGTTTTCCTTTCTTCGTATTTCTTTAATGAAAATCATCATTTTCATTTTTATTTTATTGTAAAAATGGCTCACTGTATGATAAAAAAAACTTGCTTTCTTTACAATTATCAATCCGATTAACAATCATCTTGAAATTTATCGAACTTACTCATACAAAGTTCATTGTTAAAGGTAGTTCATGTTTTCGTTACAAAAGTGATTTGAATTTTTCGTGGTATCTCGTATTATTGATAACATGAGGGTAGATCGAGATCAAAACTTTACGACAAAATAGATAAGTTCAGCTTTCCAATTGTGAACTTTCCATTCTATGTAGCAACATCCCAGCAGCGCCTTCATAGGAGTATACACATCTCAGCTGAAACGATATTCCAGAGATTGAATTTCGTATCACTATTTTCTTGATAGAGGGTTGCTGCTTCAAGGAAGCTCATGAATCTCGAGTTCTTGGTGGTAAAGCTGATGTTTTTTCTCCGAAGGTTTTACGGACCCCCAATGATTTTGTTTACCATTATGGAATATCTATTTTACAGCTGACCACGGATATATTTCAATCGTCGTAGCCTTAATCTCGTCCACTTTTCTGCGATTGTGACATCCCTGAATGAGACTTATAATCTAATTTGTACTAACCATGAAAAACACGACGGATTCTACATGTAGAGTTTTCCGGTTATTTTCTCTTCGACTTGTTATTTTCCGACTCTTTTATGGACAATGTTTGTTCGCTACGTATTATGGACTATGCATCTCACAATTGAACCGAAATGAGCACAAATGCACACGAAATTACTTTTTAGGACAGTATAACTCGTTTCTACGATTCTACAACAATAAATATGATATTTTTCATATAAGACTTTACATGATAAAGGAAACAAATCAAAAGATTGTCTTTTCCATCTAGATGTATGCTGAGACAACATCATGACCTCGAATATATTTTTCTCGGGCGTTTGTTTTGTCTTGTTGAGGCTCCTCTATTGTGTTGCACATAGTCTTGTATGAAATTTTACATCCAGAAATCCTGTACATCTAGCGCTAAGGTTGCACGAAATTTATAAAATAAAATTTTCAGCACTGGTTTGATAGAACTACGAATAAAGGGTGTCTATTGCTCAGTAATTATTGCATCGGTACTGACATGATTAATTGTATCTTTTTTAAATTCTCCGATGATGAATTAAGTAATTAAGGTTCCAACTCCTTCCGGAAATGTTGACCTTATTTTTATTCTTTTGTATGTGCATTTTGATCACTTAGCTCCCCCTGTGTTCAGGTATTTAGGTAACGACCATTTAACTTCAAGGGGGGGGGGGGGGGGGGGTTATGGTTTTTTCCTAAAAAAATATTCTGATCCCCAATTTGATGAAAAAAATATTGTGGTCAAGCAGATGACAAAAAAAAATAAATTGATTGAAAGCGTTGAAAAACTAAAAAAAAAAAATTCTGACTCATACAAAAAACCATAACCCCCCTTGAAGTTAAATAGTTGCTCCCTTATGATATCTGAACATCGGTAAACTACAATTGCCTGAAAGTTATATTCATCTGGGTTTCAAATGTTTGTGTTTGAGCGTTCCAATTGAAGGCAAATCAAGAAAAGCATTTCAGACCACGGAATTTATGAATGTTATTTTCATTTACATCGGTATCATATCTTTATATCATACTGGAGTGAAATATCTCGATTAATCATGCAATTTGAATGCTTACACATACACTATCCCCTATGAACAAAAGCGAGGATCAGAATGATAGTTAATATTGAAATCATGACACTTCAGTGTTATATACTTGTTATTCGGGCTTCACAGGGATTTTTTTGTTCATATTCCCTGACAGTACCCATCTCCTTTGTCTGACAGCTCAGGGGATATATAACACATTGACATGGAATATTAAGTCCAAATATCCCGAATGACATAATACATATGACGATTAATGTTATATGTTTCCAATACGTACTAAATTATGACTTTTCAAACTTTTCTATCGTTATCAACGAGTTACCCCATTTCATGCTTATATAAAAAATGAACGAATTTGCATGACAAGTGATAAATAAAAAGCAACACACTGATTATATTCATATAAATTTTTATTTATATATTCTTATATAACAAGAATAAATAAAAAGAAAAAATATAATTAAATGAAACCTACTTCAAACAAACATACTTATTTTGTTTTCTAATTACTTTGTATCCACAAGACGTACACAAAGTTTTGCAACTCTTCCGTTCTGATAAGTCCGTTGTGTTTTTATTACGAGCACATTGTCTACCTTCAGTCCCTTCAATATTGAGTACATGATTCTTGGTGCAGTAGTTGGGTGATTTTTGTAAGTACGTCAAATGCTTCTTTTTAATCGTGGTTACTTTTTGAGAGGGTGTATACTTTCTTTGCTGTAATTGACCATCAATAAACTGTACAAGTTTGGCCTTTTTGTAGCGGTTTTTAAGAAAGCTTCCGATATGACGAAATGTGGAAACTTGTCTCCAACATACCTTGAAAGCACAACCTTTGCCTTGACATGTGCACTTTGTTTTTGCAGTCTTTTCAACTGCCTGAAAAAGAAGAAGAAATTCATCATCATTATGGCCATTGTTATCATTAGAAAGATGATCAACGATAGAAACAGATGTTTAATGACTATTACCTAAGCGGCATTTACCACTCGAAATTGTTCCGAACGTACATGAATATAAGATTTCTTTTAAATATAGCTGTTCGTTGAGAAGGAAGCTTGTTCAAATACAAGTCCAATTAATAATAACGACTTTACTCAAGTTAGGCAATATTTCACCCACCTTATGTCCAACTTCATAATTATGTAGTTGCATAGCTGCATTTTCATCCTTTCCAGAAGCTAATTCCTTAAGGAACTCGTATGTAAATTTGCCTCCAAATTTGATATTGTTACTGCAGCCATCCCAATAAAAAGTTTGAATGTTGTCTACTGGATCTATAGAAAATGAAAATAACATTCAAATGATTTGTATAAAACATGTAGCCGATCATTGAAATAATTATTTATATATTTATTGTTATATTAGAATGGAAGGTTGTAATAAAACATTCTAACAGGATCATGTTAAAACAAGAGGATTTCTGTTATTCCTTCTACATGTAAGTTATTTGTTAGTTTTGATATTAATTATCACTATTGTAAATTTCAAATTATACCTAAATAATTATACATTGAACGAAAAAAATACGTCGATATTGACACAAAAAGATGATGTGAAAATCTTTCTATGAAGTGCAACGCATCGTTTATGATGATATCAATTGTTGCAATACCTAGTTTATATTGTGTTTTCTCACATGAACAGAACGTTTCTTGCCCAGAGCTGCACAGTTTTGCAATAGCATGAATTATTCCAGCTGCAGTAATTGCTTGAACAAAAGCAGCCTCTCTTGTGGCTGAAATTGAAATAGAAATAGAAAAAGTATTTTTTGACAACTTAAATGAATAAGATAGGTTTAATTCTTTAAAAACATATGAAGCTAATATAACCATAAGTTTGTTTTAGCTTTCTAAAAAGCTTTGGAGTGCTTCGCTGTATCATATTTTTAAGTAAGATGTTGTGTATGTGGTTGTTTAAGTATAGAAACTGTGTTATTTATCTCCTTTGTACATATACTCATGAGTGTGGTATTATAAGCCTGTCTTAGATGTGACATATTATGGTATACTGTAGAGTGTTCATGAACAATCCCTACAAAAACTAAAAATTTGTTTTAATCAATTGTCTCATAATTTTAACCTAACATTTGGAATGAATAAAGAAAGCTTCCTTTTGATTTTAAAATTCTTTGGTGGCGTCATTTTGAGAGATACCGTTTTATTTTGAAAATTTACGATTTGTCATTCCACAGTTATGGCACTTTGACGCTCAGATCAATAAAATGTAATACCCTACATGTCATGCACAAGGTCTAGTATGTTTGGACCAATTTACTACACACTTTACCCTGTTGTTAGTAATGGTGAATCTCGACTCTCTTTTGGATTTTGAAAATTTTGTTGTTTGTTGTTGTTCGAGAGCTATGGGACTTTTGGCCCAATATTTATTTGCGTATGGATATCTTTATGTATGTTTTTCTACATAGCAATATAAATATCCCAGATCATTCTCACAATTCTAATGCACAATTTTGGGGTATCATGTGCTTTTGGCGTAGCTGTTTTTATGTATCATTTGATTTTATAATATGAAATACATGTATTTTGACAAAGTTCTTAAAGATCATTGGCAGTAATATGTATTTTAAGTGTAGTGGTATTAGCATATATAGTCAGATAAGCACTCAGAAACTTTTTAATCTTTGCCTGCCTTTTATTATGGACATACGATACAGTTTTGATCCCACGGTGAATTTTTGACGAAAGTTTGCATACAAGCTATTTTTAACCTAGTCAATTCAAATATGTAATAAAAAAATATACCTTCACGTGCTACTTTTGGAGATAAATGGGGTCGAAATTTTAGACTTTTACTGGACAGTTTGGTTTCTTGGACTTTTCTATCCTTTGGAAAGACATCCCTGAGGCAACGCCAAATTAATACCTCGTCCATCGGATCCCCCGCGTGTTGTGAAAGGTCGACGAGAAAAAAGTACTTTTTTTTAAAAACCCGCGTCCAGTACGGAGCCGCGCGCGTCCGTCTCCAAATTTATGTTACCAAAATTTTAATCATGTATATTCTAAACGTAAGACATAAGTGGAATATTTGTAGTTACAGTAGTAACGAAGGCAACGACCTTACTACCAAACACAGGAGTGGAATGTGATTTTGACAATTCTTTTACCGATATGTTCGAAGTGCTCCGTGCAAGACCACAAAGCACCAACGCCTCCAAATTGAAAGATTTGATGACAATATAACATGCATGAAAATAAAAGTTAATTCCGAAGATTGAAATGGCACCGCAATGATACTATATGTATTATATTTTTTACTTTTTTTATCTTTTATAATAAAAGTTTTTTTCCCTTGAAACTTTCATTTGATATTTGCTTGTATCATTACAAAGTTAAAAAGCATGGAATTTGACAAGAAAGTGTTTGTGAAATTCTTCTTTCCCCCAAGGGTGACTAGGAAATCGAAATATGGTCACCATAGGTCTTCTTCGAACCGGCAGTAAAACCCTCACCAGAGTGGGGCGTTCATTTGGCTGTGCGGGATGTACAAGTTCGCAACCACGTCCGGTCAGAATGGCGACGTTAAATCTGATGCCTCGTGTAGGGAGAGTGTCATGCTCTTTGCACGTTAAAAACCCTTGCAACAACTGTTTGAGTGGTCCGTAGGTGGCCTGTTGCAAGGCTGAATATCTTTCCCTGACCAATTTTCCCTCATTTTTTCCCGTGGCAGTCCAAATGTCACCGACCTTCATCCTAGACGGCCTCTGTTACAGGCCCTACACATCGTATTTATTGTTAATTTGTTCTCGTCCTGAACATGCATGAAATATTTGCCACTGGATTTTAAGCAACCAACAATCAACCAATCATATTATATTCTTCAGGAAAGCAATGACTAAGTGAAATGTATTGAAATGTGCCTTTTGTTTAATTAGTATTTTTATATCTGGTGTGATGCATTTAAATATGCAGTAGTATAAATTGGTGTGGTTTTTGAAGGACAATCCTTTATAAATTTTCATCTTCTTGTATACACAAATATGTATGGTTGTATATAAAAGCTTTATACATGCATATATTCTTTGCATACGTTTATTTGAAATGACATACCATTCTATATGTGCCTGTCCCAAGTCAGGAGCCTGTAGTTCACTGGTTGTCGTTGGTTCATGTCTGTTAAATTTGTTTTTCGTAAATTGTTTTGTTATGAATTAGGCCGTTAGTTTGCTCGATTGAATTGTTTCATATTTTTCATTTCATGGCCTTTTATAGCCGACTATACGATATGGGTTTTTTTCATTTTTGAAGGCCGTACGGTTGCATATATGCAATTTGAACTGGTGGATAGTTGTTTCATTGGCATCCATACCACATCTCCTTACTTTTATAATGCATCAATTATAACTGACATCAAACATGGATGTCTACCTGTTCAATGCTGTTGTACATTTGTATGATCAGCTGGATCTTTATTTGAGCAGACTACACGAAGTTGTAGGTTTTGCTACTAGTTAACCATTTTTGTACTTGAAATGTTGTGAAAAGATTCAACAGGGTGTCTGAGAACAAATTAAGAAGCAAAGTAGAGTAATATAAGAACTAGGATATGAGATATATAAAAACATGAAGCACCAAAACTGCGTAAATTTCTGAACGATCGCTTGCATAAAATGCTTTTCATAGATTTTATTTTTTTAATATTTCAAAAATATTGTCGCTCGCTAGTGAAAAATGCTTTCGCCTACCAAAAATTAAACTTCGAAAAAAAAAAAAACAAATAAAAAAAGTTTGCTCGCTCGCTACCCTTTTTGACGGAAAGTGTCCGAAGAACTAGAAATTAATTTGTTGTGGCCTAACTTTTTAGTTTCAAAAGATAAACGCACGCGGATTTTTTGTAAAAACATTTGGAATATCTTCTCTTCATAAGTGGGTTGAATTTGGGCAATAGTTCTTTGGAAATAACTAATTTTTATCACATTTTCACGATTTTAGTAAAAAAAAACGGCATTTTTGGCTGAATATTTATCTAATTTGAAAAAAAATTCATCGGGGATTTGTTCATAAAAATTGGCACAAATAATCTTTATACATAATCAAGCCAAATGTCATTTTTAAAAAGAGGGGCCTATGAACGCGTTTTCAAGTAAAATCAGTCTGAATGACAAAAATCAGTAGAAAAATGCATCTTTTCTCGATATGTCACAGTTTGACGTCGCGAAAAATAACATATTACGTTAGCGGCGTCATTACCTCCCCTGTAACTGTATCGTATGCCATTAATCAATATGAGTTTGAAGCAATATTATATAGCAAGGTAAACCAGTAAAGGCAAAATCATTCAGTGATCGGGTATCAGAGCGGCTCTTAAATACCCATGCTGATATTTTCCCGTATTTTCCCGTATTCAATACCTTCTCCTGTCCGCGACATGTTCCCAATTCTATGTATCATTCTAGCCAATAGAATCCTTCCCAAATCATAAGGCAACCAATGAGAACCGATATCTGTTACGTATTAATTTCAATAATGCCGTGAATATCGTATGAAACTGATAGTTTCGCACCGTGATGCGTAGCAAAACAAAACAAAGAGATTCATTTAATTGGAAACCATCGTAATCTTGCTCTCAACGACATTTCGTTGGCGAATTGCCCAGCATTATAAGAGCGAGGAGCATTATAAAACATTGTTGTGTTCGATATGACTATACTCAGATAATATTTATACAGTGATATTGTTGATCAATTTGTCTTTGTTGCTTTTCTCCTTTTTAAAATTGCGGACTGTTATTCACACGTAAAATCTTAACGTTAATTAAATTTGTCATAAAGCGTAAATGACAGCCTGAAAATATAAGACGTCGATCTATGAATGTCATGATTACTGAAGCATCATGTGATTTGAATGTCAAAATGTCATAAAGAGAATATAAAAACTTAAACCCATCAAGCAAATATCTATGATGGCTAACACCTTCCATATGAACCAAATGTCGCTTTTGGTATGGCATTTTCCTAATTTTTTATTGACAAAAAAGTATATATAAAAATATAAAATAAGGAAATGTGGTATGATTGCCAACGAGACAACTATCCAACAAAGTCCAATTACCGAAATTAAAATTTAAAAAATCATTATTTGGAAGGTCTCATTAAAGAACAAGGTAGTCACAGCAAAAATGTGAATTGCACATATACCACTACATCATTTACGAAAGAGGAGATATTAGAAAATTACATATCCGTCTGTCTCTCTTTTTGTATAAACATCAATAAGGATGATGAAAATTTCCCATCGTTATACATAAACTTCACAAAAATCCTTATAAAGAACAATAATTAGCCAGGTCATCAACCCAATAACATCAACAGATGTTCGACTCAAACATTTTTCTATAGTTCTAACCACCGCTCTTTCAACAGCAAAGAATAGCCTTTAGAAATATTGTGATGAGGTGTATCCAACCAGCGGTGTCATTTAGATGTGTATTTTATAATTTCTAAATATCTACTCAAAACTTTAATCACAATCTTTTCATTTTGCATTTATATCAAAACCTTTGATTATACTAAGCTGTGTTTCTGTTTGTTACCTTGATTTGTCTCTTTCTAATCGATTTGTGAAATTTAAACACCGGTAAGCTAAAAATGACGTTTAGCAGCAAATATTTCAAGAACGATAAAATGTTAATGAAATATAAATATACCCTGAATTCTACTAGACTGACATGATGCATGAATCGGATTAACGCGCTATTCGTAACCTTAAGGATGAGGTATCTTTACTTTTACTTACTCCTAAATTCCGCGTGCTATGTGGCAATACATCAAATACCAGTTATAAATTTTTCGGCCAGACTACCAAAGCGGCCGAGCACAGGTCGCTAGCAGGAGACAACAATGTTACTCTTACTTCGTATTTTGAAAAAAACTCGAGATCACCCCGGTTATTGATAGGGTTTGTGTCGCTAAGTTTTATGTTGTGTTTTGAAGACTGTTGTTTGTCTTTTGGTGGTTTTTTGCCATGACATCGTCAGTTCAGTTTTGACTAATGATTTTAAATATCCTTGTTGTATCTTCCGCCTCTCTTTTAATGCTAAATAACAGATAACGAGCTCGTATTGAAATTGAGATATATAATTTAGAATTGCAAATCTCAAATGTCAAACTTTTGATATGAAATATTCAATTTGAAATGATCTTTCTGATATCTCGAAAAAAAGCTAAATTTCTCTGTCATGTATGTCGCAGATCTTTTATTCGCTCCTCCCTTTTCTAAAGAAGAAATTTTTCGAACCTTCAGTACGCCAGAATATATTCTGTTGAAGGTGCGATTATAATAGCAAGCACTTAGTTATAGCAGTAAACTTGTTACAGAAGTATAAAGGGAAATAAATAGCTGAAGTTGCAAGTCTAGCAATACAAAAATTACCGAATTCTTGACTGATTGGTGCTTTGTTTTCGGGGCAATTCCATCTTTCCCAATTAAATTGATACTGACATTCTTCTTGTGCTGTTAAAGTTCCACTTCTTACACCTTGCAAAATGTGTTTCTTAGACATAACCTGTAAAACAATGTCTGACTTTAGATTCCCGTTTTACTGTAAAACATATCATGAATTTATAGTGATGCAAAGAGTTTTTACATTGTCTTCCATAATAATTCCATCATAAGCCTAGTTGGTTGGTTGATTATTTTTTATTTTAAAACATGCATTTATTTGTTTATTTAAGTTGCACTATAATAAATAATTCTTCTCCTATAGATTAACGTGCATTTGAAATTATCTCTTATAGCTTAGTATGAAAAGAAACCGTTTAATTTGTTCTTTTTTATCCTCGAAATTATTGGATAGTCTTACCCTTTATATTTCGTTGTGAATTTTGCTGTTGTAAAACTAGGGAAATCATCTGAAAGTAAGAAATGTATCTCCCCGTGAATTGCTATCATTCCTGTCCTTATTTTGTAATACATGTACGTATTTGTCCTTTCCGATTATATCCTCGACGTTTCTATAAGGTTTTGATTGCAAATATTTGAATGCATAAAGAATCTGCATACAGACGAATTTAATACAAAACTACGGGTTATGTTAGCAAGGATCACAAAATGATACCCCACCCTATGTAAAGTACATGCTTTTACACGGGAAACCCCAAGAATAATTGAGATAAAAACAAAATGGGAGGTACCCAATAACATTGAATGGTTATGATTGTGGGATTGTTTCAATTAATAGCAATAAGCGGTTTAGTAAGAGTTGCAGATACTGATTGGACCCCTCACCCCATTAAACAATCGTCCATGCTTTCGTTAAGGAAACCCTAACAATGATTCGAATCTAAAAGCACAAAGGCATTATGTCACTGAAAGTTATATAAAATGTTCCATCACCTGTTTAGGATGAGTTGCAGATGGGAGATGTAATAATACTAATATGAAAGCGCATATTATGAAAGTCTATGACTTTGTGCGGGAAACCTCAGAAATCATTCTGATCAGAAAGTAGAATAGGATATGAACAGGTACAGTACGTCATAAAGAAGATGTGAAAGTTTCGTTGATATTCATTATTTGGTTAGAAGAAGAAATTGGTCCGAATACCCCACTTCGTTAAGGGGGATATAATTAAATAAAAGTTATATTTTTAAAAGTCTCCATTTCAATCAGGACGTAAATTGGCAAAAACCTTGAAGAATTTAACTCACCTTAAAGCAATATACCAATGTGTTTTGGTTTCGGTGTTATTTTGAAAAATTATAACAATTTTTACAGAATATAATTTAACTGAGCAGTTAATTTGATGATGCTTTTAATATCTATAAGTAAGATCACTGTTCAGTCATTACAAGATGGAAAGAAACTTTTTGTGGTATTATGAAGTGGATGTATGAATGCGTTAGTGATCTCAGTTTATTGTTCTGTAAACGAAACTATCACGGTCATCATAATGTTTTGTATTCGTTATAACGACAAAAATAATCATGCATGAAAATGTAACTGTTGTCAAGAAATGTGATCAGCAAGTTGAGACAATTACATACAATTCAACTTTAAAATCTGTAAAAAATGTGGTGTTTTATTCAATGGCGAAACAAATAAAAAAAAAAACTAAAATTTGCAGTAAATCTTTTGTGGTATTAGTCATAAAACTGCCTACTAAGATAAAGAACAAATACAGTACGATTTAAGAAAACACATAATCCTGTTTAATCATAAAGGAAAAATGCGTTTTATAATGTAATAGTTTTATTACTTTCATAGTGTGTGAAATATCAAGTTTATACTTATTGTATATATACGTAAACATGTTCACCCAAGATAATAGGCCTCGATGGGTTTTTCTAGCAGAAAAATAACGGTCCTCATATCTGCAGTATCGAATAAGCGAAGTAAATGAATTTTTTTATTCGATGTTGTTTTGATGAAAATTGACCACAGCAGGATTTTTCTACTAGGGCTGCCAAAACGGCTTCATGTATATTTTACTTTTATTTGTTTATTTGTAGTCTATATTTTAAGCTCTGTCTGACCGTTGGCGTATGATTCATGCCATGGTGTGTGACACCTAGACCGGTTTATACGTCAAACGTAATGATAACAAACACCCAAGTGAGAAACCTGAGGTGGCTTACCTAGCCGAAACATAAGTGTCCTCATATCTGCATTTGCCAAGATGCGAGCTGATTGGGGTCTCGAAATTTTTAATGTGTACGCATCTGCATTTTTTGCTATCAGTTACCAAGAGTTATTTATACGTCAAATGGTCGGGTTACATTATTTAACATTATGTAGGAGATGCACATGCCTAATATGTAAATAAAAGTTCTACGAAATCATGCATCTGACTATGAAACTGTTGGAGGTGTCAATGACCAAAAATCGGAACCACTCCTTGATTCATGTTGCCAGAAATGACAAAGTTAGACAATTTTGAAATTCTGTAAAATTGTCCCAAAGGTATAAATAGCTCGAGATGTACGTGTCTATTCATAGTTTGAATGCTATATTTGAAACTGAAGCAGAAGCTGATCACATAAAAGTGACAACATCCGATAATATTTCCTATTTACGATCCGATACCAGATCTCTAATAATCAATACTTGAACATCATTAGCTGTTATTTATTCACGATAATTTGTCTACATATGCTGAATAATGGCCGTGGCATTAAGATTGTCATGATCTTTTAAGGTTCCACAGTGTCCATTTTATTAACACGAAAAAATACGTATATAGTCTATACGTATATAGTCTCATAATTTAGAAAGATAAGAAGTTAGCAATATCCTTTAACTCTACGTTCCGCTATATAGATGATGTTCTCTCACTAAATAATACAAAATTTGGTGACTATGTTGAACGAATCTATCCCATCGAACTAGAGATAAAGGATACTACAGATACAGTTAAGTCTGCCTCATATCTTGACTTACATCTAGAAATTGACAATGAGGGTCTGTTGAAAACAAAACTTTACGACAAAAGAGATGATTTCAGCTTCCCAATTGTGAACTTTCCATTTCTCTGTATCAACATTCCAGCAGCGCCTGCATACGGAGTATATATCTCCCAATTGATACGATATTCCCGGGCTTGTGTTTCCTATCATGATTTCCTTGATAGAGGATTGCTGCTCACAAGGAAGCTATTAAACCAAGAGTTCCAAATGGTGAAGTTGAAGTCATCCCTTCGTAAATTTTACGGACGCCATCACGAGTTGGTTGACCGTTATGGAATAACCGTTTCACAGATGATATCGGATATGTTCCTTATGTCGTAACTACAATACCCTCCCTTTTCACGAATGTGACTTACCGAATTAGACTATTTACCGGATTTGTAATTACATAAGTAACACGACGGGTGCCACATGTGGAGCAGGATCTGCTTACCCTTCTGGAGCACCTGAGATCACCCCCAGTTTTTGGTGGGGTTCGTGTTGCTTAGTCTTTGGTTTTCTATGTTGTGTCATCTGTAATATTATTTGTCTGTTTGTCTTTTTATTTTTGGCCATGGCGTTGTCAGTTTGTTTTCGATCTATGAGTTTGACTGTCCCTCTGATATCTTTCGTCCCTCTTTAGTAACACATTGGGCTATTTATAAAGGGGAAGCTCAAATTAAACAAGACAAAATCTTGTAAATACCTCCATTCATTTGATCTGTTTGTGCCATACATGAGAAATAAAAAAAGTCTTACAGGAGCATTCCAAACATCAGATACATTGGAATTCAAATCATCTGTTCGAAAACTTGTAAACTGTATTCAACAAAGACATTAAAATACTCCATTAAAAATATCAGACATTTAACAAATCTTTTTCTGAGTTCTTCTTGTATGAATCTTTGTACTAAGATGGAAATGCATAAATTCTTTGTCCTAATGTTTATTTCAATATTTCAAAGTGATTATAATATGAAAGTCATCAAAATTAAATCGGATTGTTTTATGACATACCAATAACTAGAAAACATTTCCAGGATGCTAACAATAAAGTTTCCAAAACCCTGTTTGAGAGAATAACCAAATATAGATGTTTCCCAATACGTCAAAATAGCAAACTTAACATGAGTCATAAACAACTAACTAACTTTTGAAACGATTAGGCTGTTAATTTACTAAACCTTTACATTTATCCACTAAACTGTAAAGTTTCCCTTAAATGGCTTCTCAAAAAGAATGGTGCGGGTCCTAGTTTAATTATAAACCATAATATCGAAACCAAATCAATTTATAATCCTTACAACATGTGAATCATCAAGTTGTATTCACGAAATGTTTTGGAGTTACAAACTAAAAAATAAAAAAATTACTCTTTAGAGCAGATCGAACTGTGCATGTTGGCCTATGTTTTTAACAAATGGTATATAGTCCCTATTTACAACACATTAAACTGTTGTAGTGGTCCACTTTATTGGAGCTCATTCAGTTTCTTTTTTTACAGCCAGTAGAAACAATGTTACAAATACTAAAAGAGGGGCGAAAGATACCAGAGGGACAGTCAAATTCATAGATCGAAAATAAACTGACAACGCCATCGCTAACAAAAAAAAAGACAAACAGACAAATTATAGTACACAAGACGCAACATAGAAAACTAAAGACTAAGCAACACAAACCCCTACAAAAACTGGGGGTAATCTCAGGTGCTCCGGAAGGGTAAGCAGATCCTGCTCCACATGTGTTGTTCATATTATTACAAACCCTGTAAATAGTCTAATTCGGTAGGTCATATTCGTGAAAGGGAAGGGGATTGTAGTAACGACATAAGGAATATATCCGATATCATCTGTGAAACGGTTATTCCATAACGGTCAACCAACTCATACTTCATCTTTCATCTTACTAAAGTCCAATTTTATCATAACTAAATTAATTTATCTTATGGCTTTACTTTGATTCATACTTACCTGGAGTCGTGTGAGAAAGTATGCATTGCGGGTATTATTAGATACTATTAGTGGGCCTAATACCAAAGCCGGGTCGAATATCCTGCAAATATAAAGTTGATTGTTGGAATACATTGACAAAGTAAGGAAACTACTTTCTCATAATGCATTGTTTACTTTAAACGGAGTGTTGCATATACAAATTAAAACATCATATACCATAGAAAGTAAAAAATCGAAACAATGAAATAGAAAATCAAAAATATACCACAATGTCATATTCATATGCAAAAACTCACCAAAGATACCAGGGAAACATGATTGAATACAAGGCGTTCGGTTATATTTTCTTCGATAAAATGTAAATAGAATAATGCAGGGTAATTCAGGAAAAGCTTGAATTTGTTTTTCTCATCTGTGGCCCGTATTTTTGCGTTGTAGTCATTTGTAAGTATTTTTCCCAGTATTAAGATAAATCTGGTGTAAGAACGGGAAACATTTTGTCTCTCATGATACTGAGCATTTCATTAATACAAACTAAGTCTGAATTTAACACTGACTGATACATTTTGATGCAGGTGTTTCTCATACAACTTTGTGTTATACCAATTAATAGTTAAATGTTGTGGTATGATAGGAAAAAGGGAAATGAACTAAGCCTTGATGAAGCATCATTTATCGAAATCCAAAAACGAATACACTTTGGTGGATTGTTGTCTCATTGGCAGTCATACCTCATCTCCTGATTTTTATACAGAAGACTTTTTTACGGTGGTATTTTTTACTTTTAAAATCAGAAAATAAAATGGAAAAGGTACCAAGTGGCAACCAAAAATCCAAAATTGACGAAAAACTGACTACACCATGACCAGAGTAAAAACATCGAAAAGATAAACAACACCCTTGAAAAAAATTAACGGAAAGCCTAAATTGAAAAACTCCACTTCACCGAAAATAGAGGTAAACTTTGGTACTCCTGATCCTCTTGTTACATACGTCATCCATGTTACACCTGTAAAATACATTGATTTTTCATATCTGGTGAGAGAGCTAACAGAAATCTTGTAACTGAACTGTGAATGATTCTTGTCTGAAACCAAGATATCACCAAATTCATTAGCCATTGGTCATGTAAATTATCCAACCCAACAACCTGACCTAATATGAAAGGTTGAACATATGATTTTCCAGACAATACTAAACCTATACCAGAAGGGACAGCACAGACATTAAAAAATAAAATCGCATAACATACAACATTCAAAACTAAAGCAAAAGAAACAGAACCTCTTTAAAACAAAACTAGGGAAAACTAAGATGATCAAGAGTAAGCAGTCCCTGGTCAAAAAGTGTCCCTTTCGTGTTGTTCCCTGCAAGTTAAAACTCGTTTATGTAACAATCGGGAAAAAGAGACTAGTGCTACCACAATTGGAACTTGCCTATGGCTATTTTGTTAAAGTCGGTGAAAATTTCAAAGGGATGACTTCAACGTAACAATTTAGAATCCTTAATTCAATACGTTTATTAAACGCAGCAACCCTTAATCAAATAAATATGCATTTCAAGGGTTTTATACATGTTTGTCGTCAGTATAAGTGAAAATGAAAACTATGAAAAAATTCAACAAGATGAGATTCTAGTGGGGTTCGTGTCGCTCATTTTTTAGTTTTCTTGTGTTTTGTAGACTTTTGTAAATTTTTCCATGACGGTGTCTGTTTGTCTTCGACTTATTAGAATGAGTTCCATTGGTATCTTCTTTTGACAAACGTATGTGAATTTATCATCCTTGTATCAGAACTATATTTATATATGAATATAACACACACGGTGAACTTACCAGTGCTGATCAGTCAACTTAACAATCCTCAACATCTTTACAAGATTCTGATATGTCTTTAACATTACTGTAATTGAAGAATAATAAACTAGATAGACAACCAGTACAAACCAAAATGGCAATGTAAACTCAAATCTGTTCTATATATGCCATGATTAGGAAGACGGCCAATTATATAAAAACAGACGTTTTCTATTGTGGACGTTTTATACGTTGTCTTTGTTGTCCACTCGTTATAAGACGCTCTCTTTTTATGGAATTGCTAGGTTGTACGTTAATGACATATCAATAAAACTTAAACTAGCTATGGCCGTGACAAAAAATCCGAGGTGGTTTAATTCATTATTTTTAATAGCCCTCTATCAAGAAAATAGTGGTTATCAACCGACTCTCATTGTAAATTTCTAGATGAAAATTAAGATATCAATCGTTGTAATGCAATTGATATAGTTACAAAGTTATTTGATTTATTAAGTGAAAGAACATCATCTGTATAGCGGAAAATGGCGTTATGGTTAATGCTGGCTACTTTTTATTTTTCTACAGAAGCTCAAGTTTGCTTCATTAGAATAAAAGAACAAGTTTGCAATACTTGGGTAACATAGGATTCATATTGCTTGTTGAAAAACACGCCCTTCAAACATAACAAACATGGTGTCAATAAGTACATCAAGCATCTTGATGATGTCAGTTTAAAAAAAATGTTTTTGAATCAGAGGGGTTTACAAAGATTTTTCCTTTCTCATACAAATATTATATCTGGCTTAGCATTATAACTTTTTTGTTAGAACTATAGAGTAATTTGGATATCCAGCAAAGTCAATGAAGATCTAGTTTTATTTTCAAGTTGGTTGATATTCCAAAAGGAACATTAAACAGATCTACGATTGTTCCGGATTCCTCTTTTTATCTCTTCATGAATCAACATGATTTAAAGTATGGACGATTTTTACTTTTTCCAATTTCATGGGCAAGATAATGGTTCCTGCCACATCTCCCCATTTACAGCTTATAGATTTTATAAATATATCAAAAATAAAATTTCTACTTTCTTGAATTCCCCCAATTTGGATTTAATGCTCATAGAAACTATTAATATATTTGGGTTCCCATTTTTGTTTGTTTTAAGAGTTGACGGTCATACCAGAAATATGTGTTGTGCACACTGAAATCGGTATAGTAGTTTTACTTTTATTTTTAAACATTATCAGAATTACCAGTTAACTCTACCTTGATAGGAAACACAAACAATTTATTGGATTCCAGATTTCGACCGGTTATTATATGATATATTGAAAATTTTGAGATGGCTGCTTGCGGGTATTGTAGGGGAGATGTGGCAAAGTTAAAAGGGAGCCAATGACTTTACTCTTACAAAAAGTGGTATATTTTGTTTCCTCAATAGTAAAGCGTCCTATACCTTTTCGGTCTGAATTAATTTAAACTGTTTACAATCATGGAAAGGAGATTAAAAAAAGAGACACGTGATTTCAAGAGGATTTTGGGAGTTACTAATAATATATTATCCGCCATTCTTACCTTTGTTTTTGAAGATTGGTGGTACGTAGATACTATCTGGTGACATCTGCAAGTATGCTAGTTCTTTCTTTAAAATCAATTCACGAGTTCCACCATAGTATTCTAACCAAAGCTGTTTATCCAGATATTTAACAAATTGTGCATGTGTATATAGTTCTTTTAAGAAAGTTCCAATATCACGGAAGATGGAAACTTGTTTCCAGCATACTCTCATGGTTGCACAGTTATTATTAATACCAGGGCATACACAATCCAATTTTGCACTCCACAAGACTGCCTGTTAAACATGATGGTAAAATTAAAGTTATAGTGAGATGAGGGAAAAAATGTTGCCACAAGGTATACTAATACTTAATTTTTGTTAAATAATGAGCTAGTACCACTGTATCTTTATCTTGTTCGAGGTTCATTGTGTTAATGTTTAATCACTTCTCAACAAGATTAAAAAACTCATACACAGAATTTTTTTGTTGACTTTTGCGTTTTTAACTTTTTTTGAACGAGGTATACATGATTTTGCTTGTTTGTTTAATTTTTGGGATTTAATTGCTTTTCAGCGTTTAACTTTGATACATTTAAATATATTACACGAAAATAAATATAACCGCTTTCAATTGTGGCATTGACTAAATATGTATATTGTCTCACTTACTCTTAGTCCGACTTTATAATTATGACGTCGCATTGCTGCATTTGAATCGTTTCCAGGGTCCATCTTGTTGAGTAACTGCTGTGTAAACTTTATCCCAAATTTTATATTATCACTACAGCCTCCCCAAACCATTCCTGAATTTTGACCTGTATACATATATGTTTTTTTTTCAAAATAGAAGCTTTATTGTGAGAACATGAAATACAGTTTGGTTGCTTTGTGTGTGAAATCAAACTTATAATAAAACAATTTGTGAACTATGTTTAAATTAAGATTTGACAAAACTTCAAAATAATTTTTTATAAAAGATTATTTGTAAACCGGTTTATACAACTATACATAATATAACATAAAAGGTACCAATGTAACTGCACACAAAGTGCATTTCGACAATTAATGTCTCTTCAGTGCTGCTAAATGTCAAAATATTTGAAGAACCAAAACATCATACAAACTTTGAAGAGGTGATAAAACCGAAACGGACCAAAAGTATATCCAAACAATTGTTAAAAGCATTAATAGAAAGAATTGAAGAGTTGATAATGCTTTTTAATAATTGTAAAAGCATGCTCGTTATATCTTAACCGGATTGTAAGAACCAGTCTCGGTCATTGTAAAAGGACTTACATGTATCGTTTTCATGTAAATAATTATTGAATTTGTTGAAAATTAGTCATTTTAAATTTGGATTTTTACCTTTGTGATGTAGGTCCTTTACATCTCTATTTTTTTCATAACATTCAAGTCTATTTTAAAATAATACGTACCTTTCTTATCGTGTGTTTTTGTTGCGTGTATCTCTTATTGTTGTCTATTTCATATTGCCTTAAATAAATAGCTTATTAATTCAATGATAAACTTATGATAGCTTCGCATCGCATATAATGCGAACTATGATACTTCAAAAACAACTGTAGAAGAAAAAGCATGTAATATCACAAGAACAAACTTACTTGGTTCCCGTTTTGTATGATCACATGAACATAAGGTCTGTTCCTCTGACCTACAATACTTCGTTACGGCATACATAAGTCCAGCTGCGGTTATTGCTTGAACAAAAGATGCCTCTCTTGTGGCTGTAATAAAAAAAGTATTTTAAGGCAAAGATTAACAAAACCTGGCCAACAACACAAATGATCGATCCGTTAATCAATCATTCAAAATATTGATAAGGCCAAGATCATGACACATTTGTTCGGGAGTAACAATTATTTGAATGATTACAAGCATGTGGTATAAAGATATCACCATTCCCTTGAATGTTCCAGATGTTACCTGAACCGTCAGAATAAAACTTTTATTAAAGGAATAAACAGATACTTTTATATACACAGAGTTAACTTGACAAGAAACTGGACAGTGGTAGATAGATAGACGAAGGACAATATCATTCTTTGTATTCAAAATTTGTTAACATCAGAAAAAAAAAACTCCCAAGCAATGCCAAACATGGACATTTATTTGAATATGGTTGAAATATTTTCTATACCTGGAGTATGACGCACTCCCATCATTAATTGTGAACGCACTTTTCGAAACAGCTGTCCATTACAGGCCAAACTAGGGTAAAAGATGGTCAGTTTTTACAGAAATTTGCCTTTTTATGTACGACTTCCATTATCTTTGTATAAAAGATAATTGTCGTTCAGTATTTCACTTCTCCATAATATGTTGTTTTCATCTTAGTCATTATTCCTTTACACTTTGCATTACAAATGTTTGCCTAGCAATCATTATATTTTTCAATATTTTGTGAGCAAATTCATCTCAAAACTGATAAATTTTGTACATCAATGAGACAGTTACCAAACAAAAGAAACGAAATTTGCACATAAACAATTGACAGGTGTCCTAACAGTTTGCATTATATGTTTAAGTCGGTTAACATTCATTTTTATTCACACTTTCAAAGAATCCAGAGTCGTGTTTCGCCCACAAAATTTCCGAATTTTCAGATGTTTACTGTAATTCTTAGACTGTTGTCCTTATTTTAGTTTGGTTTTCTTTTGATTATGGGGTTATCATTTTCCTCGGTATCTTCTCATTTTCTAACTTTTTGTTTGTTTGGTTTTATTATCTGCTGTTGAATAAATTAAAATAAAAATAAGTAAAGACCACTGACCAGCTAATTTTTTAACCATCAACAACAACATTACATCACCCAGATTTGACTCATATGTCAATTTGCTCCGTTTTTTTTATTATGGCACGCGTTCTTCGAAGACGTGATCCTATTGATATATATCAATGGAAGGTAGATAACCAAATAAAACAAATGTTTAAAATGAAGTGTATTTTTCAATGAGACAGCAGCCCAAAATCAAAGTGACATTAAACTGTTAACAAAAATATTGGGCTAGCCTTTTTCATTTTAGCCTATATCTATTTTATAGTACTCTTTATGGTGTAAGATTCGTAACGCACAAGCCCTTTTTACATTTTTTTTAAAACTCACAATCATTTCTGTCAAGCATTGCTATATCTACTGGACAATTCCAGGTGTCCCATTTGAACTGATATTGGCACTCCTCTTGTGCTATAGAAGTTCCATTGGTCATAATATGTAAGATTTCTTCATTTACCTGTTAAAATGGAAAAAATATTATAAAACTCACTACAAAAAAAATACGTATTTTCATAAAATCTTCAAAAAACGAACAACAAAGTTTACAACTTTACCTTTAGCATTCTGCAATTCATGAACATTAATTTACTTTTCCTTGTGTTTACTCTACCTCACAGGTTGGTCCTTTCAGATTTACCATATCTGCAATCGAGCATCACTGACGAGAAACTAAAATGCACACATACACACACATACACATGGTCTGTCATTTTTACGTTAATATGTGGAACTTTATATGAACAGCATAATCAATAACTATGGATGACTACCGAACAAGAACATGTAAACCCTTCTTTAAGATAATTGATCAACAAAATTATCTTCTTTTCAACCGACTTTCACAATTTAACATGTTTTATGTACAAAAGTTCAGTTATGCCGGAAAAGATGCAAAATGATGTTCGTTTACAGATAAAGGGAAGTTAATGCATACCGAATGTTGGTCGAGAAAATCAATGAAATCCACATTCTCTGTAAAGGTATTGAAAACCAGTCCTTCTTCTGTAGATCTATTTAAAATTTCATTCAGGGACCTGCAGCTAAAAGAAAAAAAATATATACTTATAACAACGATCAATGCTAGTTCCAAATGGGCGTTAAGCATATAGAAATCAATCAAAGTTTATTGTATTGTAAAATAATTTTTGTCACAGAATTATTATAGATTTGCATTTATAAAAGTAAAATATGTTAGTACATCGACTACAACTGAAAAAGCATTAAAATCGTCGACATGAACAGAGATCATTGACTATTTAGAACCCAAGTTAAAGAATTGGAGTTACATTTTTGCAATCCGACATGTTAAACCTTTCTTGATGAAATTAGATAAAGACCGTAGCGAAATGTCCCCACTGCTTTTTATGTTACATTGTAATGGAGTCAAAATAGACTGCGGAAAAATTGCTACGCACATTTGATAAATTACCGTCCCAACTTATGTAATTAAACCACTTATCTTTGCAATTTTCATGGAAATGTGTTTTTTTTTTTATTTTATTAAGGGACTGTTGTGAAAACATTTGCATAGTACTAGATTCCAAGGTATAGTGACCATATTGCAAAAAACTTCCAAACATGTGGTTTCTGGACGTCTACAAAATATGGTTTCCCCCAACATATTAAAAATATCAAAGTATCGGATAACAGGAAGTATGTATGTTCAAGATCATAAAAGTTCTCAAGCGTTTCAACTTAATACCGTCAAGCTGCTTACCAAATATGAAGTCATTGTAAGGAGTAGCGCCCACAAGGTGTCACTATCCAATGAATGGTTATTTAACACTGATGAAAAACAGTCCTACCAAGAAAGGACGCTTTAAAACAAAAAGATGTGCAAGCAGTAGCGGTGCCAAACATAGATAATACACACATTTACAAATTATCATATAACTTTAAAGGGGTATTAGCTGTCAAATTCATGTTCATCGATTTGACTCAAATTCTCATTTTTGATTTATAATATACTAAAAAGTATATCCAAAATACAAAAAGTCTTAAATAAACAATTAACAATGAATGGACTCGATAAAATGTATCAACATTTCGTATGTATTTTTGTCTAGACGTCATCTAATTAACCATCAAGATGACCTCCGATGGTCATATAACCAGATATAAACATAAATATAAATATAAATACGTGCAATTGGATATTCTTGGTCTGTTTGATTTCATATTGTAGTTTAAAAAATATCTTTATCATCGTTTTTACCTGTATAAGGTATAATAAAATTGAGAATGGAAATGGGGAATATGTCAAAGAGACAACAACCCGACCAAAGAGCAGACAACAGCCGAAGGCCACCAATGGGTCTTCTACGCAGCGAGAAGAATGCGAATAAGAGTGAATGTTTGTGGATCGAATCAATCAACGAAATGGTTCATCCTTGTTTCACTTTCAATGGTGACATTTTTTTCCTTTTAATAGCTGAATACATGCATAACCCATGTCCAGCTAAGGTGTTAAAATAAGGTCACATGAATACGGCGAGGAATACGGATTCAGTGAGGTTGAATTTTATTTACTTGCATATGCATAATTCATCAGCGATGATTTGACAAAATTGAACCAAATGGCTGCTAGAAGCGAATTATTATTTCACTGTTTCACTTTCATTAATGATTGAACAAATAAAAATATACTTTTTTAAATATATCTCGTAGCTAATGCCCCTTTCACGTGTTACATAATATCTACAAATAGTGTACAATCATTCTTTTTATTTACGATTACACGAAACCAAACGCGAAACTTAACGAATAATATTTCTAATTGTCTTATTTGATCATAATTTTCGGACAAAATGTACATAAAATTCAGAATGGAAATGGGGAATATGCCAAAGAGACAACACCCCGACCAAAGAGCAGACAACAAACGAAGGCCACCAATGGGTCTTCAACGCAGCGAGAAATTCCCGCACCCGGAGGTGGTGCATGCATAAAGGAACAAAAATCATAACATACGTTATGTTTTTTTTTATCTGTTTTCTAATAATTCTATTCGCAGTCTTTTTGATCCATAGGTAAACATTTTAAAACGTAATTACTATCACATAACATAGTGAAAAGTGTAGAGTGTATACCACCCCTTTTAGTTTGATGAACAGATATGCCATATGTATATACTGTATTTGAATACACTGATGAGCCGTAAGGCTCCAAAGTTAATAAAGAATTTGAAAGCGAGATAGACATGATAGAATGAGACAACGACAGTATATTATATCGGAATTACTTTTGTTTAATAGTGACAAACATTTAAACAATTATCTAGGTTAAGAATGTTGGAATCGTTTCATAACTAAAATGCTAAGATGTATCTATGCATCTATCAATACATTTTATAACAGTATGACTACCACGTTATCGCTGTGTCTGTATTCATTCATACTTTACCATATTATTATATATATAAATGTTATACTATTTAGCACACATCTTTAATTAATTAAAAAAAAAACCATCATTTCTCAACATCTTTTGAGTTAAAATATGATAACGTCGTTCAAGAATTAACGAGGTTAGATGATCAGTTATTTCTTTAGTTAGTTACACTGGAAAAACTAAAAACGCGCATGGAAAAAAATAATTTAAGACTTATGGCGTCTTGGAAATCTTTCATCAGCTGTCAGAGAATTGGGTGAAGCAAAGATGTAAAAATATAAAATATTTATATTATTGGTATATCATAAATAACAACTTGTTCAATTATTACTGATGGATAATTTTTTTCTGCAGCAAATGTGCAATTGGTCTGCCGATTTTTATTTCTTTAAACAGAAACAGTGTAAATGATTTTTACACTAAAACAATATAATAGATAAAGAAAAAAAACAAAAACACAAGAAGGAAAACAAAAACAATAAAATGGGCGCAGCTTGATACGACCGCAGAGGTCGAACCCTGAACTGTTGGGGCAAGTATGGACACAACATTCAAGCTTGATACATCACTGAATTTGGATTGTGATTAAATATTTGACACAGCATAGGTTTTTGACACATAATGAATGTAGTCTAAGAACTTAAAAAAAATTTAATTTACCTATTCAAACCATATCATTATTATTTGCTTTTATATATAAATCAGAAATAACCAAATTAAAATGGAAAATTTTAAAGAAAAAAAAAAAGAAAATCCCTCCTCAAATTTTTTGAACCCCCTTATGATTCATCACCCCCAAACTCAATCCCAGCCTTCCCTTTGTGTTACAATGTATGGTGCCTTGCAGTACTATTTCAGAGAGATCCGTACACTTGAACACAAGTTATTGTCTGGAATCAAGAAAAATGCTTGTTTTTTTGCCCCTTTTTGGCCCCAAATTCCTAAACGTTTAAGGCAATTACCCCCAAACTCTAACCCAGCTTTCCCTTTGTGATATGGAACCTTGTTGTACAATTTCATAAAGATCCATACACTTACACACAAGTTATTGTCCTGAAACTAGAAAAATGCTTGTTTTTTTCCCCTTTTTGGCCCCTAATTCCTAAAATTTTAAGGCAATTACCCCTAAAATCAATCCCAGCCTTCCCTTTGTGGTATAGTACCTTGTAGTACAATTTCAGAGAGATCCATACACTTGAACACAAGTTATTGTCTGGAAACTAGAAAAATGCTTATTTTTGGCCCCCTTTTGGCCCCTTATTCCTAAACGTTTTGGGCAATTACCCCCAAACTCAATTCCAGTTTTCCCTTTGTGATATGGAACCTTGTAGTACAATTTCATAAAGATCCTTACACTTACACACAAGTTATTGTCCTGAAACTAGAAAAATGCTTGGTTTTTTTCCCCTTTTTGGCCCCTAATTCCTAAAATGTTGAGGCAATTACCCCTAAAATCAATCCCAGCCTTTCCTGTAGTGGTATGGTACCTTGCAGTACAATTTCAGAGAGATCCATACACTTGAACACAAGTTATTGTCTGGAAACTAGAAAAATGCTTATTTGTGGCCCCCTTTTGGCCCCTTATTCCTAAACGTTTTGGGCAATTACCCCCAAACTCAATTCCAGCTTTCCCTTTGTGATATTGAACCTTGTAGTACAATTTCAAAAAGATCCATACACTTACACACAAGTTATTGTCCTGAAACTAGAAAAATGCTTGTTTTTTTTTCCCTTTTTGGCCCCTAATTCCTAAAATTTTGAGGCAATTACCCCCAAAATCAATCCCAGCCTTTCCTTTAGTGGTATGGTACCTTGTGGTACAATGTCAGAGAGATCCATACACTAACACACAAGTTATGTCTGGAAGTTACAAAAATGCTTATTTTTGGCCCCTAATTCCTTAACTGTTAGTACCTTTACCCTTAAAATCAATCCCAACCTTCCTTTTGTAGTATTGAACCTTGTGGTAAAATTTCATAGAGATCCATTCACTTAAACTAAAGATAGAGTGCGAAAACCAATGTGTCTTCGGACGACGACGACGACGACGACGCCAACGTCATACCAATATACGACCACACAAATTTTTTGGCGGTCGTATAAAAACAACAGTCAACGGCTGAAATGTTGACAATCAACGAATCTCATACGGATTGAATAAAGGAAATTGTGGTTTCTATTCTTTTGTCCATGGTGATACCTGTCCTGAATTCTTCGACGTTTAAATTTGATTATCCCCTTGATGTTACGTTTTTTTTCAAATTTGATACGTTGAAAGACTTTAAGTCCAAACGGAAAAATGATCTAATCTGCTTGGATATATAAGAAAGCTAAAGAGTATACTATGACTTGTGAACTAGATTTAACAATATTTTGAAGAATATTGTTTACTGCACTGTAAATCAGTTTTAATCGCAATTGGTTTCTTTTTTTTTAGGTCATTAGTACTTAAAAAGTAACATATAAAAAAGAAAGTGAACATGATGCCTACCCTCTGGCTAATAAGAAAATACATAAAATAATCAAAGAACTATTTATTCCATTCATTATCACAACACCTCGTTGATCAACCACTCTTGGTAATTGAAACTGCACCCATCTTCATTTTATCTCTTAGTTTGTTTGATGATCTTTATTACATAATCGTTCGTTTTGGGTTTTCCTTAACACAACTTGAATTGCGAAATGATAACATCTGATAAATTTTCAGCCTGTTGATCAATTGGTTACTATATATAACAGACAATCAAAACTACCACTTTAATTTATACCTTTCTTTTCTCGTCTAGCTTCTCAATAAATCGTTCTATCCAATGCTACAAAAGTCATGATCAATGTTGACTTTTCCAGTAGTTTACTCAGGTTGCCCTCGGACAGTGTGAATAGCCCTTTTTCACGTACAATCATTTATCTGTACTCTCATGTACACTCAAATTGTAATGTCTCACCCAACTTAGGTAGCTCTTGAATTTTTATCCGATAAACTAAATTTTAATATAAACAATAACCGAACATATTACAAGTGACCAAACAACATATTAATTGACGAACGCGCGTAGTTATTATTTTTTTTTTATATAATGGAAAAGGAAATAGAAAATACAAGTAATATTATCGCTTTCTATGCATTCTCAGTTCGTTTTGATGTAAAAAGAGGCGGAAGATACAAAGGGGACAACCAGAACTCATAAGTCAATGGAAAACAAGTTATGGTAAAAAACCAAAAACGACAATACGAACAAATCCAATGAACACCACATAGAAAATTAAATATTGAGCAACACGAACCCATCCCAAAAACATGAAGTGAACTCAGGTGCTCCGGAATGATAAGCAGTTACTGATCTATATGTGATACTTGTCGTGTTTCTCATGCAAGTACAAAATTACGACAATTGGAACACATCCGTGGTCTTCTGTGACACAGATATAACATAACGGTCAACTAACCCGTGACGTCGTCCTCAAAATTTTCGAACGGCTGACTTTAACTTTACCACTTGGAACCATCAATTCAATAGGTTTCTTGTAAGCAGTAACCCTCTTTCAAGGAAATCATGATACACAAGCTCTGGAATATCGTATCAACCGGGAGATATCTACTTCATAAACAGTCGGTGCTTGAATGTTGTTACATAGGCATGGAAAGTTCATAAATGGGAAACTGAAATCCTCCCTTTCTTTCGTCAAGTTTTGTTTTGTGTTCTCAACCTACTTTCAATTTAAATTCCAGCTGTAAGTCAAGATATGAAAAGGTTTTACTGTATCTGTAGTATCGTCAATTTCAAGTTCTATAGGATCACCAAACTTTGAATTATTTAGTGAGAGGACATCATCTATATAGCGGATCTTCTGTGAAAACGTCTTTAACATACCATTACTTGTATGACCTAGTTAAAGACAACAGTAGTTAACCGATGTTTAATCATCTCATAAATCCATTAAAAAAATACAAATCAAGGTTTTCGTTGAATAGCAAGATTTCTAAAAGAAGCGATGAATTGCATCCAGATAAGCGTCTCCTGCTACACATGCACTCCCCCCATTCGAATCCACATTTAGTCAAAAGAGGAGTGAAAAATAAAAGCAGTAATTTACTGATTTTCATATTTCAAAAATCCATAAACACATCTCATGATAAAATATTTGAGGGAATCGCTTTGACGGATGAAATAGGATTCTTGGACAAAGTAAGCGCTGCCTTTTATGCATGCATGACCTTTCATCCTAATCCAGGCTCATTTAAAAATTTACAATCAGTAAAGGAGGAGGTATGGTAAGTGCCATTATTTGGTCCGTATGATTGCAAAAATAGTAAAATCAAAGTCAAAAGTCTTTCAAAATTATGTTAATTTTATTGATAAATGAACAGGTTGATATAATCTGGACAGTTTAGAGCCTAAAGGTCACTTGTGATGTCACTATGATGGCATAAACATGTTGAAATTAACATCTTTGATCTAAAATGGCCATTTTACGCATAGTTATTAGGACAAAATAGACATCAGAAGAGGCCTTATCCCAAACGATATTTTACATACATTAACATCTTTGTAAAATATTTTTGGAGGAAACATATTATTTTGGGAAACAACTGTGTTCATCGGAAAGTACCAAGACCTAATAGATAAATATTCAGTGACTACTTCACAACTAATTCATATAAATTTCATCACTGCATCAATTGTGTTACGATATTTTTTCACTCGAGAGTTAAATTTCAATATCTAAAGCGCGAGACCTGTCGAACTTAAAAAAAAATAAAATTTAACTTTTGAGAGTGGAGAAATATCGTAATACACGAGATATAGTGGTGGAAGTTTACCCTTCTTTTTCAAAACTTTGCAGAAAGATGTGTTCTTTATACGTGACGTCATCAGACATGGCCGCCTTTTCTTCATGACGTCACAATAGGAAATTCAGTAGAAATCAAGAAAATTTGACGTCATAATTGACTTTGGGCCAATCATTTGCTGAGAACAAAGTTTTGTCTAGAGATGAGAAATAATTTTCTCATACCGATCGAGAAATGTGAAAATAGCATGAAAATTTGAGAAAAGATGGTCTTCAGTTATAGATTATGGGTGCTGAAGTTGTGTATCTTTTTATTTACTTTACAATTTTCCCTTTATTTGTCTTCGTGCTATTATGTGTCTTTTGATCGTATGGCTTTTGACGTGACTCGGTATTTATGCATCCCGCTATTGGGTTTTTGACTCTGCCGTCCTGGTGCAGGTGGGTCCTGAGGTGCGATTCGGACAAAAGAGGTTTTTACAGTGTTGTTTCCATTTTATTTACCCTTGTTTTCATATTTCACTTAATGTATACTCTATCGAGAGAGTGTATACTATATACAGAATGTACTTTCAATTACAAACATTTTTTATCGACGTCTTTGTCAATTTGCTATCAACTACAAAACATTTTTGTTGGCGTCTTTGTTAGATGTATATGTATGTTTGTTTGAATTTTTAGGTCAGTTGTGTTGTATGTCTGTGATGTATGTCTACACAGTTTTGACTCCTAGGTCCCAATTATTGTCACATTGATATTATGTTTTTTTGGTTGCTCACCAAATATATCAGTATAACGGAACTATAAACAAATATCATACAAGTTGGAGGTTTAGCTAGCTATAAAAATCTTCGGAAAATTCCTGTATCAAGCAAGGAATATGACAGTTGTCTCGTAGCTAATGCCTCTTTAACATGTTACATAATATCTACAAAAAGTGTACAATCATTTTTAATTTTTTACAATTATATGAAACCAAACGCGAAACTTAACGAATATTATTTTTAATTGTCTTATTTGAATCATAATTTTCGCACATAATGTACATGTATGTATAAAGGAACAAAAATCATAACTTACTTTAATTTTTTTAATCTCTTTTCTAATTATTCTATTCGCGGTCTTTTGGATCCATAATCAAAAAATTTAAAACGTTAAAACTATTGCATAACATAGTTCAAAGTGTATAGTGTATACCACCCTTTAAACCAGAAATCAAAGAGCCGACACAAGATAGTTTGATGAACAGTAATGCCATATGTATATACTGTATTTGAATACACCGATGAGCCGTAAGGCTCAAAGGTTATTAAGAATTTGAATGCGAGACAGACATGATAGAATGAGACAACGACAGTATATTATGTCGGAATTACTTTTGTTTAATAGTAACAAACATTTTAACAATTATCTAGGTTAAGAATGTTGGAATCGTTTCATAACAAAATGCTAAGGTGTTTCTATGCATCAATCAATACAGTTTATAACAGTATGACCTGTTTAATGAGGATTACCAAGTTGTCGCTGTGTCTGTATTCGTTCATATTTTGCCATTAACTGATATATTATTTAGCACACATGTTTAATTAATAAAAACATCACTTCTAAACATCATTTTGAGTTAAGCTATGATAACGTCGTTCAAGAATTAACGAGGTTAGATGCTTATTTGTTTCTATAGTAATTTACACTGGAAAAACCAAGTATGCGCATGGAAAAAAATAGTTAAAGGCTTGTGACGTCTTGGAAATCCGCCATTAGCTGTCAGAGAATTGGTTATAGCAAAATAGACGTAAAACATAAAGTATTTATATTATTAGTGTCTCATGAATAACAACTTCTCCAATTAAAAATAATGGATATTTTTTTTTCTGTAGCCGCCACAATATTTTTCTTAATATCCATATGATTGACTATTCAAGGCTAGACATGCAACAAAAAAAAGTATAACAAAAATACTGAACTCCAAGGCAAATTCAGAAAGGGGAAGTCCATAAATAAAGGCAACAGTAGTATACCGCTGTTCGAAACTCATAAATCGATAGAGATAAAAACAAATCCGGGTTACAAATTCATACGGATTCAATAAAAGAAATTGTGGTCTCTATTCTATTGTCCATAGTGTTGTCTGTCCTTAATTCTTCAACGTTTGTATTTGATCATCCCCTGACGTTTTTTTTTCAAATTTGATACGTTGAAAGATTTCACTTCCAAAATGAAAAATTATCTAATGTGCTTGGATATATGTGACAGCTAAAAGAGAGGCGAAAGATACCAAAGGGACATTCAAACTCGTAAGTCGAAAATGAACTGACAACGCCATGGCAAAAAAGAAAAAGACAAAACGACAAACACCAGTGCACAAAACACAACATAGAAAACTAAGGACTGAGCAACACGAATCCCACTAAAAACCAAGGGTGATCTCAGTGGCTCCGGAAGGCTAAGCAGATCCCGCTCCAAATGTGGCACCCGTCGTGTTGCTCATGCGAGTACAATAAGGATGATAATATTACTTAGGAAATAGAGTTTACTGTACTATAAATCAGTTTCATTCGCAATTGGTTTCTATATGCTATTTTCTTTTTAGGTCATTAGTATTTAAAAAGTAACATATAAAAAGAAAGTGAACATAGTTCCTACCTTCTCGCCAATAAGAAAATAGATAAAATAATCCAAGAACTATTTATTCCATTCATTATCACAACACCTCGCTGATCAACCACTCTTGGTATTTGAAACTGTACCCATCTTCATTTTATCCCTTAGTTTGTTTGTTGATCTTATTACATATTTATTCGTTTTAGGTTTTCCTTAACACAACTTGAATTGCGAAATGATAACATCTGATGAATTTTCAGCCTGTTGATCAATTGGTTACTATTTATAACAGACAGTTAAAACTACCACTTTAATTTATACCTTTATACCTTTCTTTTCTCGTCAAGCTTCTCAATAAATCTGTATTCAATCTAGTGCTACAAAAGTCATTATCAATGTTGACTTTTTCACTCAGTTAAACTCAGGTTGCCCACGGACAGTGTAAATAGCAGCAATGCATTTTACTTATTAACGCACCCTTTTTACACGTACAATCATTTATCTGTACTCTCATGTTCTCTCAAATAGTAATGTCTCACCCAACTTAGGTAGCTATTGAAATTTTTATCCGATAAACTAAATACTAATGTTAACAATAACTGAACATATTACAAGTGACCAAACAACATATTAATTGACGAACGCGCGTAGTTATTCTTTTTTTTTTTATATAATGGAAAAGGAAATAGAAAATACAAGTAATATTATCGCTTTCTATGCATTCTCAGTTCGTTTTGATGTAAAAAGAGGCGGAAGATACAAAGACACCAGAACTCATAAGTCAATGGAAAACAAGTTATGGTAAAAAACCAAAAACGACAATACGAACAAATCCAATGAACACCACATAGAAAATTAAATATTGAGCAACACGAACCGATCCCAAAAACATGAAGTGAACTCAGGTGCTCCGGAATGATAAGCAGTTACTGATCTATATGTGACACTTGTCGTGTTGCTCATGCAAGTACAAGATTACGACAATTGGAACACATTCGTGGTCCTCTGTGACACAGATATTACATAACGGTCAACTAACCCGTGACTGTGTCCTTAAAACTTTCTTCAAACGGCTGACTTTAAATTTACTACTTGGAAACATTGGTTCAAAAGCTTTTTTGTAAGCAGTAACCCTCTTTCAAAGAAATCAAAATCGAATACACAAGCTCTGGAATATCGTATCAACCGGGAAATATATACTCCATAAACAAGTGGTGCTTGAATGTTGCTACATAGACAGGGAAAGTTCAAAGCTGGTAAACTGAAATCCTCCATTTCTTTCGTATAGTTTCGTTCTTTGTTTTCAACCAACATTCAATTTCCAGCTGTAAGTCAAGATATGAAAAAAGGTTTAACTGTATCTGTGGTAACCTTTATTTGAAGTTCTATAGGATCATCAAACTTTGAATTATTTAGTGAGAGGACATCATCTTTATGGCGGATCTTCTGTGAAAGCGTCTTGAACATACCATTACTTGTATGACGTGGTTACAGATAACAGTAGATCACCGATGTTTAAATCTCATAAATCCATTAAAAATTACAAATCAAGGTTTTCATTGAATAGCAAGATTTCTAAAAGAAGCGATGATTTGCATCCAGATAAGCGTCTCCTGCTATACATGCACTCCCGCCATTCGAATCCACATTTAATCAAAAGAGGAGTGAAAAATAAAAGCAGTAATTTATCGATTTTCATATTTCGTAAATCCATAAACACATCTCATGATAACATATTGAGGGAATCGCTTTGACGCACAACGGTTGAAACAGGATGCCTGGACAAAGTAAGCGCTGCCTTTTATGCAGCATGACCTTTCATCCTAATCCAGGCTCATTCAAAATTTACAATCGGTAAAGAAGGATGTATGATAAAAGCCATTATTTGGTCCGTATGATTGCAAAAATAATAAAATCAAAGTCAAAGTCAAAAGTCTTTCAAAATTATATTAATTTTATTGATAAATGAACAGGTTGATATAATCTGGACAGTTTAGAGCCTAAATGTCACTTGTGATGTCACTATGATGTCATAAACATGTCGAAATTAACATTTTTTTTAATCTAAAATGGTCGTTTTACGCATAGTATTAGTACAAAATAGACATGAGCAGAGGCCTTACATACATTATTATTACACCAGGGTTTTCGATATCATAAACTAGTCAAAACATTTACTAAATTTTATCATCGGTATAAGGACATCATTCGTAAATATAACTCAACATGCAGACATCTTATACGTTCGGGTATTTCACATCCAATCTTTTATGGTAATATTCTTACTCGGACTTCTTTTAAACTGAGTTTTACTGTGCGTACTGTTGTGCGTTTGTTTTTTCTACATTGGCTAGAGGTATAGGGGGAGAGTTGAGATCTCAAAAAACATGTTTAATCCCGCCGCATTTTTGCGCCTGTCCCAAGTCAGGAGCCTCTGGCCTTTGTTAGTCTTGTATCATTTTTAATTTTAGTTTCTTGTGTATAATTTGGAGTTTAGTATGACGTCCTTTATCACTGAACTAGTATACATATTTGTTTAGGGGCCAGCTGAAGGACGCCTCCGGGTGCGGGAGTTTCTCGCTGCATTGAAGACCCATTGGTGGCCTTCGGCTGTTGTCTGCTCTATGGTTGGGTTGTTGTCTCTTTGACACATTCCCCATTTCCATTCTCAATTTTATAAACATCTTTGTAAAATACTTTTTGTAGAAAAATATTATTTTGGGTAAAAACTGCGTTCATCGGAATACATGTAAATATAACGGAACTATAAACAAATGTCAGACAAGTTGGAGGTTTAGCTAGCTATAAAACCAGGTTTAACACACCATTTTCTTCGGAAAATCCCTGTACCAAGCCAGGAATATGATAGTTGTTTTCAACGCGTTCCGTTGGTTCATAACGTTTGATTTTTTCAGTTTTTATGGACTTCCCCTTTTTTAATTTACCTTGCAGTTCGATATTTTTTTTATACTTTTTTGCTCATATCTAAATGTAAATGGTAAGTTGTGAAATGGGACTATTTTGGCGTTTTTGTTCAAACGATACAGTATACAGATACTTAAGACGAAATTGAAAGACGTTAACACTGATGTCTGACAGTCTAATGTCTTATGACCATCTGGATATTAGTTTTAGTAGATTTGTAATACATTTTGATTTTCGAATTCAAGGAACTAAAAGGTGGCTTGATCATACCTTCTCCTTTACATTTAAGACGACTATTCCGATAGCCTGTGCTCTAAAGACCACAAATACATGTCTGTTATGAGTTGAGACAAGTCGTATCAGTCAATCAATTTGGAATGGTGACCGTGAAACTTAGAAAGTACCGATTTCAGTTGTTATTTCTCATAACCCTGCCAGTTTTGATGTTAGGAGCACACCCCCGCCAGTAAATTTTAATAACGTGACTATCCATGCACGTAATGTATCAATTGCGAAATGTAAATGTCAAACGATAGGGCAAAGGAAATGTTAATACTAGTACTGAATGGGAACCTGACAATGGATAACTGAGATAGTCACGTTTGTAAATACAGGATGTATTTTACATGTAAAATATCGGTTCGTTGCGACCAATGTGTTGATTCTCCTCCAAAAGTATTTCATAAAAAGTGTAAACGTGATTATCTAACAAAAATATATGGAAAAGAAAAAAGATATGATTACTGTATCTCATTCCATTTGGGATTGTATTAGTGTTTGCCATACAGAATCTTCAATAAGTTATTGCGGAGGTTCGGATAAAGGTCCACATGCCGGTCGTACGTGGCTGCATATTTTTTACTAACTGCACAGCGTAATGGGCATCCTCATAGCATATGTCTTACTACATGACTGTGAAAGTTAACTTGACCGTATTTATACACACCAGTCAACCTTTGGGGTGTTTTGTCATCAGAAAAATGTTCGACGTGACTTAAAATGAGGCGACCAGAGAGACAAAGGTAAATCCTTTTTTTGTAGTCGACAAGTTTCCTAGTTTTAATGACATGATAAGTAATGAGTGCGTCAACGTACTGGAGCAGTTATACAGCCATAAAAAAATCAAGACCCAGAAAATGCACATGGCATTGATGCCATAAGATGATATGAATATGATTATGGTGAAAACATCAATGCAGGAAAATAAGCTGACGTCACACAGGAATGTTATCGAATAAAATCTTTAAAAAGAAAATAACCGATTTCAAAATGAGGCAAATATAATCTACCCGGAAATGTGAATTCATTATAGCGAGGTGTGTAAAGACAGAGGCGGTTTTATTGGGCAGGGTGCCCCCCCCCCTTTTGTGGGAAAAAATTGTTTGATTATATAGGGAATCACTGAAGCATGACTGGAGCGGGCCCTCTTTTAAGCAGTCAAATTTCTGGATCCGCCACTGAAAGATGGGAATGTCAGTGACAATACAATTACGTCGTGAAATTACAATAAATCCAAATACATGTATTGCCCCAGTTCCCATGTTTTGCAGGAGACCTTAACATCGTCCAGGACCGAGAGTTGAAATCATATCTTAGGCAAGGACCGAAATATCGTCCCCCGTCAATTATTAAGTGGATGAGTGTAGTAACATCATCCACAACTCACTCCTTACTTACTGTATAAAATGGATAAAACGAGAAAAAGCTGACAAAAAATCCTTAGATTCTTCTTTTTCAAATCAGTAATGAAAATAAGTTGATATTTGTATTAAACATTTTAAAGAGCATTTTACTCTAAACAACAACCATGATAGCCCTATTTCTCGTCAAACATAAGCCAAAAGAAATCGACAAGGAATGTGTTCAGTGTAGAATGTGTTTATGTGCCGCTGATAAGGCTGCCAATAATATCATTATTGTTTGACATTAGTTTTATATTGGGGTTCTGCAAAAAGAAAATATAACATATAAAACAGGAGAGCTACCTCTTAGCAGGCAGAACCGAATAACATGAAAGTTCCAACTATATACTGGCTTCCGAAGCTGCACAAAACACCTTACAAATATAGATTAATTTCTTCTTCAAGTCATTGTTCCACTACTAAACTGTCTATTTTTCTAACTAGTACACTTGGTACAATCAAAAACCTGGTAGTAAATTTTTCAAATAAGGTCTACAAAAATAGTGGAACTAATTACTTTTGGAGTGTAAACAATTCGTTGGAAGTATTTGATAAATTTTATACTCATATTGGTGCTTTCGAATCTGTTCAAAGTTTTTATTTTTCTACCCTATATACCACTCAGCCTCATAATCTCAGTAAGAATAAATTCACATACCTGATCAAATGGGCATTTAAAAAGTCAGAATGTAAATATATATGTTCAAACTCTTAGGTAATTTTTAGTAACACCAAACAATAGAACTATGGGAATTGGACCTGCTTTGACATGATAACTGCAAGTTTAATCTTTTCTAGATAACATTTTTATTCGCTATAGGGATTCCGTATATCGCCAAGTTATCGGAGTTCAATGGGGACTAATAGTGTACCACTTATTGCAGCCCTGGTTCTGTATTGTTACGGATCCCAATTTTGTCTAAAATCGGCAAAGACCCGTCAAAACGACATCTGATACAAAAGTTTAAATCACACTTTAAGGTATTGGGATGATATTTGGCTCTCAATAATGACGGACTTCAGCATGTACACTTAAGAGATTTATAATGTTGAATTTACTTTAAATAAAGCTAATACAAACAATGAACACTGTCTTTTCCTGGATCTTGATATCTATATCTCTACCGGGAAGCTAATACTTAAGTTTACGATAAAAGAGATAATTTTTCATTTCCTATTATTAATTATCCATTTTTAGATGGTGACATTCCCTTGGCACCATAGTATGGTATTTATATATTTCAACATGTTCGATTCGCTCGTATATGTAACAACGTATTCGATTTTAACGAAAAAAATATCTGTATCACTGATGTCGTCATTCACCTTAAAAGCTACACAAACCTTAAAAACAGACTTTTCACAAGGGATATAGTTACGATACTGTTGTCAAGTCATTAAAGATGGCATTTTTTGGAATAAATATTGATTCACACATAGGGTATTTGCAACGAAAATAGACACATTGATTCTTAAACCCGTTGTTGGCATGATTCGTGTTATGTTCTTCTCGTCTAAATTATGATGGCATGATACTAAACTCATAACGGGAGGGATTGTGGTTGAATTTCATATGATGAAGATATAATTTTTCGATAGGTTTAATTGAGGTCTGGATCTGGCATGTCGGTAACTCTTAGTAGTCCTTTGTTAATTTATGTTGATCATTGTCATTTTGCTTAGTTTCTTCTGTAACCTATTCTAACATCGGACTCGGACTTCTTTTAAACTGATATTTACTGTGCGTTTAGCTGTGTGTTTGTTTATTCCATATAGGTAAGAGGTATAAGGTAATATGCCACAAAACATGGTTAACCCCGCCGCATTTTTGCGCCTGTCCCAAATCAGGAACCTCCAGCCTTTGTTAGTCTTTTGCGTTTTTTTTAAATTGTTGTTCATTTGTTTTGTTTCGGAGTTTAGTGTGGCGTCCATTCCACTGAACTAGTATACATTATTGTTTTGGGGCCAGCTGAAGTTCGCCTCCGGGTACGAGATTTTCTCGTTGCGTTGAAGACTAATTGGTGGCCTTGGGCTGTTTTCTGCTCTTTAGTCGGGTTGTTGTCTCTTTGACACATTCCCCGTTTGCATGCTGTATTCTACCTAATTTGAATTTGACATGCAATAAGTTCTTCTGTACATTTCTGGACTATTCAGGGATATGAAAATTATTTATTTTAGCTCTTTTGATATAATTACCATGGCATAAATGAAAATAAATTATAATAGTGATTTATGTCTATTTATAGAAATAATAAAATATATAAATATAAACAACAACAAAAAATATGATTAACAACAAAATGGCATTGTCATGTTTGCCTGTTCTTTAAATTATACATTATACCTCATTGGTTGAGGTGGCATTAGTCATAAAACAATAAACCACGAAAATGTCTTCGTTTTGGCTGGAGTAGCATTTCTCAGTTAACGAATATGAGATCAGATAATAAATCGTAAAGAAATTGTCCTATCTTACACAGTAATAATTATTTTCCCTTGACACACATTTGTCACATTTCACCTTACAACACCATCGAAATTTACAGTTGCATGTGTTGCTTACGTCCACTGTCACTTTCTTTACTTTATATCCGCAAGATTTGCATAAAGTTCGACAACTCTTTCGTTCTGAAGTTGTCATAGCATTTTTATTTTTACTTCGAATACATTGTCTACCTTTTGTTCCTTTTATGTTCAACACATGGTCTTCTCTGCAGTAGTTTGGAGATTTCTGTAAAAATGCTAATTGTTTTTTGGAAAATATGGCTAATTCGCGAGTTCTTGCATCATTCCCTTGTCGGAGTTGGCCGTCAAAATAATTGACAAATTTTGCCTTCTTGTAACGTTGTTTTAAAAACTGTCCAATTTCACGGAAGGTGGCGACTTGTTGCCAGCATGTTCTGATAGAACAATCTCCAGATAAACCATGACACTTACACACCATTTTAGTATTCCTTGCAACAGCCTGCAAAAAACAAAATAAATTGTTACAAAACAAAAATCAACGTTTATATTAACTTGTGATACTGGAAGCACGCAAACTAAATATATGTATTGAATAATTCCGACTCCCTGTTTTGTACAGCATGAATATGCTTTACCCTAAATAGTACAAAGAAAGATATACGTAGCCAAAGAAATCTTACAAAATACTTGGAAAAAGACTTATGTATCAAATGAACAGAAGAAAAACGCTTTTATTGATTTTCTTCATTTTGTTAATTTAAAGAAGTATTAATGAAGAAATAAATAGCTAAAACCTTAACCAAAGTCAAGACTGCCATAGGCGTCGACTCAAGCAGTGTTCTCTATATCCATAACCACACGTAATAAAAAAAGTTACATATAAAACAACAAACTAATATGCATAGTAAAACAAAAGACTTTGATCATAGCATATACAAACAAAAAATTAGCAAGACATATGTTAGAAAACTTGGAGCAGATAACAATGGTTAAAATATAAAGTTTTGAAGTAAAGACTGCATAAATAATTCAAACCAATAATTTGATAGAAAAAAAAATGAAAATGAACAATAAACCCAAAACACTAAGATCTATTTTTTACATACCTGGCGTCCTGCACCATAGTTTTGTAGCTGCATTGCAGCATTTTCATTCTTTCCAGATGTCAACCCTTTTAGAAACTTGTATGTTAATTCGTCTCCAAACTTGATGTTATCACTACATCCTCCCCACTTCCAATTATAGCCACCTGTCGAAAATAAACATATGTTAATACTCTTTTAAGGCACATGGGTTGTTTATAGATATGGATATGTAAAGGCTATCGTTCAAGTCCTACTAGTTCAAGATGGAGGATGTAATACAAACAATCGTCTAAATCATGAACAAAGATAACATGGATTTTGCTGTGGAAATCAGCTAAACTCTTCTGATCTATTGAAAAAATACTAAAAGATGAACGAAAAAATGTTGATTTTCATTCAATTGATTTGAAATTTTGAGTATGGGAAATACGAAGGGCAAACTTTAATACATTTTCAACACTGTATGAACTGGTTGACAATGTATCAAACGTATGTTCTAATGAGATATCTCCTACGCAAAAGTTAAATTTATATATATTTTGGTGAATTTTGAATGGATTTACGAGTTTTGAACATAGTAAACAACACATCGATGTAAACTCACATCTTTAATTTGCAACTGTTGACCCTTATTCATTAAACATTATATACACCGATCGCATCAGACGAATTACACTTCCAACAACATTGAGAGATGACATAAATGTGATGTATAAATATATTGATCAATGCTGTAATCAGAACTTACCAGGTTGTCCATTTCTGGAATTATCACACGTGCAAAATGTTTCCTGTCCAGAGCTACACTGTTGTGTGACCACGTGCATTATTCCAGCAGCGTTGATAGATTGAACAAAAGCAGCTTCTCTGGTAGCTGAAACAGAAAAGTTTTTTCCATTACAACAACACTGATGGATGAACATAGCATGGATAACATTCTCATATAATTTGTGATATAATCTATATTTTAAAATGTCAGACCGAATTCATTGAAATCTTAGCAGATGTATGTTTAAACATTCTCAGATTTTTTTACTCGCTGAAAATTACACTGCTCAATTAAGTTTCAAACTGTTAAATAAAACGTATGTACGAATATTGAAGTGGGTTAATATTATTGCATTACAAGTTACATCCTAACCATAAACTTTTGGACCGAAATACCCCTAAGGAATTAGTAATTTGTCATATGTCTTGTCAACAAGATGTCAGGTGACACATTTCTATAGACATGTTCTACCCGGTATTTCCCTCAATATTTACCACATTTATTCTAAATGAATTTTAAAATGTGTTTTGGACTAAAAATCGGATGTTTTTGTTATATTATATTATATTCCTATATTGTTGCCATTTCCTTTGCACAACATTGGACAGCATCAACATTCGATCTTCCTGTATATGGAATTTATAACAGAAATGTACCGAGCGGTGAGTCAGGGGTTTTTCTAACCTTTTCGTCACAATAATTTATGGGAAATGAATTTTAGTACCATGTATTCTCTCTCAAATTTGAATGAACAATTAAACTTAACATTTTTTAACAGGAGCCACGCACAGCAAGAGCAACGATGTGTATTGGAATGGCTTAGCAAAAGCCTTTCAACAGAATCCGGAGGCAATCATTCAGGGTATAGAGGATAGCAGAGAACGAATAAATAACAAGCAACGCTTGTTTAGAGACCAGTATGGGCGCCAATTTTTATGGGATCCTAGATCTGGAGCCATTCCAGTATTTCAGCACAATCATGTAGAGCATGACATACAAGCTATCCCTATTATGTATTACGATAGAGTTACTGGATATCTAACAGGCCATCAATCCCGCTCAAAACTACAATTTCTGGTACCCAAAGAAGGATATCTATTGCGGCGAAATAGTCACCAGAAAGTGGAATGCGATCCTAGTGTTAACCCTATGTTATCCTTTGATGATGGAGGAGGTATATTCAATGTTATTCTTATATCAAATATCACTATTGACAAGGTTATCCATATTTACAGAAATATTCGAAATCGGTGTTTACTTATTAGAATCCACTACTTAATATGACTTGCTGGAATCACTTTTTTTTCAGTTCTATCAGCTTCTTTGAGGATTTATACGTTTTCGGTTTAAAATGTTCGCAAATTGTGCTAATTTAGAAAGTATCAGCATTGTTCAATTCACTGTTCATGTACTGTTTAATGCTTTGCTTATACAGGAATTGAATATATCTCAGTCACGATATTTAAGTTTCTTTTCTTTTTTTCTAATCGATGTAGTTGTCGTTTTTATAACCAATTCTAGAACAATCATAATCTTTGAGGATATTCTCCCTCTTGTTTATATCAACTGACAAACAATGGATGTTGTCAGTATGAAATAGTCTTTAATTAAACCTTCATTACACAATACGACTCGTTAAGTTTGATAAACCCTTTTTTGTTAATTGCAGAAACAAGAGACCCATGTACGGGGCAATATAAGAGCAAAAACCAAGCCGAGTTCGGACTGACAGCAACTTCCGGTATGGCAGATGTATTGTGCGTGTTTTGTCAACATATCAAAAATTTGCAATGTATCTGGCAGTTTTGTTCACATCCTGATGGAGTGTACAAAATAAAAGTTAGTGACAACAAAGGATAAATATGATTATAATTTGTTTTACATATAGGGAAAAGTACAAGCATTTGAAATATGTATGTAAATACAATCGATACCTCTGGATGACTTGCGACTAAAATGGAAGTACCACTTCTCTTTTACATGTGGATATCAATTCATGCTTTTCAGTCAATTTTCACAATATTATGAACAAGCATCAAAGTTAAGTATTTGTATGCCTACTTCGTCGATATTTTATATATATTATAATTGTTACATCCCGCTTAAGCGTTTAAGTTCATTAGTAAGTTTGGTTTAAAAAAATGTATAGCAGTTATCGGCATATATCTATATAAGAACTAACTTAATTTTGTTGTAAAGTGCAACTTACAAAGAATATTGTTGAAGACATTCAAGTGATTTCAAAAAAGAAAATGAGCAAACAAATCATATATCATTTTCTAGTATATAATACTATTGTCACCTTCCTCTTCTCAATGCATATAAAAATCCACAGCGTGATTACAAACTCACCAAAATCTTGATCAAAGGGTGCCGTATCTGCAGGACAATTCCATCTTTCCCATTTAAACTGATGTTGACATTCTTCTTGAGCTTTTAATGTTCCCTTTCTGACACTTTCCAAAATTTTTGCCTCTACCTACAAAGTCTTACTATGTTTAGACATGTTTCGTACAAATTCCTTGTTCAGAAAAGAGAATAAAGCAGTTTGACAAAATTCGCAGCACGAGACGGATTTAATTACAGGGAAGACGTTTCTTTTGTGGTTAAAATTAATACAAATTCTGGTATATATTAGTACATAATTAACTTCCTTTATATTCCCATTTGGACCACCTTACTAGTATACCATTTGACTTCCAGCTAACTCATTCAGATTATAGAATGTGCAAAACAAACGTAGGTAATAATCAATTAAAAAATATGATGGGGAAAAATAACTAGAGGAAAGGTAAACAAGAACTATTGCTGTCATACTTTTCTCTGTCAATATGATTATATTGTGTTATTATTATCAGCGAGTTGTAACTTTCAAGGGAGCATATATTTCACAAATTCAGATATTTTCATAATTTTCAAAAATTATCGACCATTTTTAAGCATTTTTTTCAGGATATCAACCCCTATTTCCACATTCTCGATCATGGTTCATACATGGCTACTACTCCTCATAATTAGTGTCTTCAGTACGCATGTCACGTGTTTCTGGAATAACCCTCGATAGTTACGTTTCCGAGGCCATAAGTTGGAAAATCTTAAGTTTTTGGTAATATTACATATTTTATTAACTTAAAAATATGTGACGAAATATATCATTTCTTAAAATATATCAGTACCAAAGCAGTGGCCTCTTGGCAATACGTACACATCGATCTTCTGGTACTGTGTCTAATAAACGTATTAATACGATAAAAAACAGTTTTATAAATACAATGGTTTGTTTTCATGATGTGCATTTTCTTAAGCGGAACAGTCCAAACCCTAATAATTCTATTTGTCCCGATATAAATAGTCACAATGGATTTTACGAGATCTATATAGAAAAAGCAGATTAGCCGTTTACGGAGAACAATGCTTACCGGGTGACGGGTGAACAAATCAGGATTCCTGGTATAGTTGGTTGCCGCTAGTCCGACCTTTGGACCTGTTATTAGAATCTCATTTAATGACCTGCAGCGAAATAAATTGACAAAGATCAATGGGATATAGGAAGTCTATATCTCTTAACTTTACGAGATTAAATAAAGACGTTTTAATTCTATTGTCCCAATTGTGGATAATTTTTTAGTTCAACCCGGTACGTTACACGATGTTATATGCATATTGTCATAAAGACAAGTCCAATTGTTCACAAACCAAAATATTTGATCAGGGATGAAATGTTATCTTATTCAAGGGCAACTATGTGACAAAATGGACGATGTAATATCGTGCACATTTGAAATAGGTTATTATATTTAATTCTATATGTAGATTTGTTGGCACGCATGTATGTGATGTTATCTGTTTGTTATTGTCTTCGTTTAACATAAAAGTTATTTAACAAACGTGTCATGTAACTTTGTTTAGATCACATAGATGGCCCTTGCTTGTAAAGTCATGTCATTCTCTCAATCCATGGACCCATTTGCGTGAATATTACTATTAATGATTTACAATCCACAAAAATGCAGCAGTTGTAACAAATAAAGCTAAAATTTAAAAAAACATGTTGCAACTTTGTCGCGATAAAATCTGAGATTGGTGTTACTAACAAAACTAACAAATTCTCTAAATAATTAAAATGTTTTAGGCACGCGAAGCTTCCTATTATTTAAATTTTGGCATTATGTTACTATGTTCATATCAACGTTATATAATAAATTGTTTCTCTTGTAATTCAAATCAGACAAAACATCAATTAATAACAGCAGGTACGATGTCATATAAAATAAATGTAATGCTGTACTGTTTTTTTTAGTCTTATAAATTTTACTGAATCACAATTCATAAGAATAAGACAATTCACCAGACAGTTGAATATATAGCATGGTAATGGTCAAGAAACATGGGAGTTGAGTACTCTACAAAATAGGTTACTGTTCGATTGTCCGACAGAAGTATGGCATTTTATCAACAACTGTTTCTCTTTCTTTTCTTTTATTTGGTATTGCCGTCAAATTTTCTTTCGTCGAGTTGAATTCATTGTCTACTTGTAAAGATTCTATGAATCAATGTAAATGATAGCAGTTACTGTGATAGAGTTTGTCATCTAGTGTGGGCGTTAGTGAATTGTTAAAGATCGTTGGTTTTTTTGTTAATTTGTGGAGTATTTTTTGGCTGTTGTATGGGACGTTGTAAATGGTCTTGTTAAACAAATCTGTACCAACTGCCTCCTGACTTGGGACTGGTATTTAATTATTTCGCAAGTTCAATTTGTTTTAAGGGCAATCAAAATGTCGAAAAGCAATCAGACAATACTAATTCAAGGCAGCCCAAAAAACGAAATACAGTAATTAACACAACCCAAAACTCCACAGTACACATGGCAACCAACAATACAGCACACCAAGACATGACACAGGCACTCCAAAAATCCACAGAACAATAGATGACTAAGACAACTAAAACAAATTTAGGCAATACATGACTAAGGCAACTCAAAAATTCATAGCGCAATACATGACCAAGGCAACTCAAAAATGCATAGAACAATAATGACTAAGGTACCTCAAAAATACATCGAACAATACATGACTAAGATTAAAAAATCAAAGGATAATACATGACCAAGGCAACTCAAAAATGTATCGACTAACAAATGACCACAAAATCTCTGGGTCAAATTATGACCACGCAACTTAAAAAATATATAGGAAAAACATGACCAAGACAACCCAAAACAAAAACTATTATTGTTAAAGACAAAGTCATGTACATTGCAAACAAAAGAAAATTCTAAAAACTAAAGCTTATTCAACACGGTGGGTGCAATTAGTGAACCAGGAACTGTTTGCCCTTCCAGAGAACATGAGTGCATCCCCGCTTTTTGTGGGGTTCGTGTTGCTCAATTTTTAATTTATGTGTTGTGTTTTTGTGAGCTTTTGTCACGGTGTTGTCAAATTTTCTTCGACCTATGGTTTTTATTATTCTTTTGCTATCGTCTCTCTTTTTTTAGTCGACATTAAGTGCCAATCTTCCCTAGAATCAGGCAGTGGTGAAAACATGACAAACTAAAACCCACTCAAGTTGACATTTATTTATGTTCAAAATGTATAATGGTGCACGAATATAACATTCGTTTCCTTTTCCTGTTCTGGTAATTTAAGATATAATTTGGTTGAAACGCACGAGAAATTAACAATTATGGGGAACTAACTCCGTAATTTGTTATCATTCTAACTAAAAGTTATCTAGAGATTTCTCGAATTAACAGACACACAAAAACGAAAGACCTACCATTTCTAACTCAGGATGAGGGCAACTTCAAAATAGGACGGTTAGGTCGGTTGGTTTTGTTCGGCCAGGTTTTGATTTTTTTCAAAATTACCTGATTCTTACAAAGACTGGCACTTAATTATATACTGCCAACCAGTTATTTGGCTTTATGACAAAACAAGTGCAGACAAGGACAGTTGTCTGGAATACAGCCATGAAGAGATACTTAACATAACAAGATTTGTTTGGACACCATCATAAAAAAGATGACATAAAAAAGATGAAATTTAAAGTACAATGTTATGGACAATGACAAAATAAGACAATGTGACATAGAATTAACGTCATCTAAAACTAACAGGATTTGAGCAATCTTGAACTGAGCTTATGAATGACTAGTCTAGTTTAAGGCCGCTAAAAAAAAAGGAAATAATTTTCAAATCACCATGAAAATATTGTTACCATCAAAATGAATAAATTCATGAAGTACAAATTATTAAAAAAAAATCACGTAAAAGCAGAGTAAAAAAGTCAATTTAAAGGGCAAGTTAAATATGTACATGCTTTGTTTGTTAAAAGTTTTGCCATGCAATTTGCTTTCAAAATGGAGAATCATGAGCGATGACAATTAAAATTTTATTAGAGACGGTAAGTGCTATTAGGTTATTTAGAAATCAGGTTTCGTTACGTAGCAAGAAGTTGTCCAATAATATGTTGTTATTGTTGAACATGTCTGCGAGGAGGTATTTTATGAGTGCTTATAATAATAATAATAATAATAATAATAATAATAATAATAATAATAATAATAATAATAATAATAATAATAATATAAAAACAACAGCATCTAAAACGAATGAGAACATTGTAGTCATATTATAATCTGTCAATAAACTTTATTGTCAAAATTTACATAATAAATGTTCTTGTATTAATGAATTAAACTCGACTTTAAAACAATTTGTATGGATACATAATTACAATATTAATGTGCTGGTCTTTTTGTAATCTGGTTGAAGGTGAAGAGAATTTTGAAAAATACATAATAAATAATTGGTAAATAATTGATATAAAAGTTGCTTCAAAATAAATATCACGAGCATTGAAATGAAAATAAATAATTATGTATAATCATGCGCTATTGCATTAAAAGGAACATCTCATTGCATATTAAATTGATATATAAATTGACGAATAGAATTTACATTCTAGCCACAATAGCAAGTTTTCTCTAGGCAATTTTTATCTTTAATTATTCTAAAACTTAAGATTAAAAAAAAATATTTTGTTTTTACGATTATAAAATATAAACCAGTTGAATCTTAAAATTGCGACAAAGCCGCTCCACTTCAACTTTACATAATACTATGAAACATCTCTTCGAGTTTACGTAACTGTCTTAATACGTTTATTTTGACTATAACAGCAACCGTATATGTTTTCAACAAGTCGCAAGAAATTATATGGTAGAAAAAAATTTTAAAAGGGTTCATAAGACTGAAACAGGACGTATATCTTAACATCCTGTCCGGATTTTTTTTTTTGAAATCTAAAATAATAGTACTATATACCAAGGCATCACAGATGGGTAGTCATGGAAAATATATTTTTAGAAATCATAAGGTTTATATGACACAAACTGCATAGATGGAACAACAGATTAATCCTCACCAAGTTGAAATCCTTAATACGAAAACAAAAAGCTAAAAAAAGTAAAGACAAAATGCGCGAAACGATTTTCAATGCTAACGCCTGATACAAAGTACCCATTAAAAGTACGAATCGATATAGATTTTATATTAACAAATATGTACACGTTGAGCTGTCATTATATGTAAAAGTATATTATAAGTATCGCCAGCAAAACCTCAACTATTGTGTAGATTATCGACGAATTATTCTTGGAGTGTGTTTGGCATGCCGAAAATCAAATTTGAAACGAACATGCCTACGCATTTCTAGCAGGCAGCAATCAGCCACAATATTAAACAACGTAAAGCAATAATGCTGAAATCAACAATACAACAAATGATCTCAATTAACGCAAAGTAATCTGAATTACAGCTAACTATACATTAAAACCAAGATTCACAATACTAATATAATGTTTATGATACAAAACTATGAATGTCTAATGGACAGAGTCAAATGAAAATAAGTCTTATCAGAGACAGACTAGTTTAGAAAAATAACTCGACTAGTTTAGGGAGAAAAGCCATATCAGAGACCAGTCACTCTTGTCAGTTACAGATGTTCTCTGTAATATAAGCACAAGGCTCGAAAACCCTCTTACGATATGCCCAAGTTGAAGACGAAATTTAAATAAGATATTAAACAAGCAAAAACGAAATGTTTAAAGACAGAAAAAAATCAATATCAATATAGTTTTAGAACATTGATTTATTCCCAGTTTAGGAATATAAAGAATGAAAGATCAAATCAAATAATATATCAATAAAAAAAGTTTAATAAATAAAAACCTTTAAAATAAATAATCACATAGATGGTTATAATAGGTGACAAATATTTAATTTTGAAATATGAAAAATGGAACAAAGTAACTTACCATGATTTGGATGTATAAATATTAAAAGAACACACAGTAAATAAAGATATCCATAAGTATGAACGAATCATCTTTACTAGCAGTTCAGAGTTGATGTTTTATCTTAAGCGAAATAATTCCGTAATAATTAGTTGTAGTTTCGTATCGCGCTTTATTTGGACAAATGAAGATTTGCCCTGCGGAAACACAAGGGTTAAATTATGACAATCGAAGAAGCTAAAGATTTAATGCAGTTTAAAATCCATGCTTTATTCAAATCAGATCGTATAACAACTCATTCATAAAATGTGTCGTTTGAGCGAGCAGTTAAAATGTCTATGAAATTTATCCTGTCCGTTAGGGGTAGTTGTTAAGATTGATGTCACTTTAATTGATAATGATGTACAAATTTAACACTGGCAGTTTTATTTTAATTTCAATGTCAATTATATGCATATAAAACAATACCTTATAATTGACCCAGGGCAGGTGTATCGGTGTCAGTTTCTGTTCAGAAAACAATACAAGTGGACCAGAGAAGAAAAGTTAACACAATCCGTTAATATTGTGTCAATTAGTTCATGGTTCAATATTTGAATTTCATAACAACGATATACCTTTGCATTGATCATAAGTAAGGCTTTCGTCAGCAGTGTAAAATTACAAGGCCTGTTTTATGAAATCGAAAAAAAGTTATCTATTTCCTTTTTACAATAATTTTTAGTTTGTCTGTTCGCTTTAATGTTACAAGATCAGGGTGTCGATATTGTAACAATTGTTTATGATGTAATTGTTTGTTTTGTAGCATTTTTGTTTTCTTATTTACTATGTATTATTATCATACGCACGTTGTTTGTTTTATTTTGTTTTGTTTGCAGTTCGTACTTAAAATAAAATAGAAGAGTTTTAGCAATCGATTACAGCTTTGTCTTGCATTCATACAAGTAAACTCAACTTTCACTGATCTTTCTTGAATACTGACTACAGGAACTTTTGAATATAGTGGTAATTTCCGATGTTCTGACGTAAACATTTTATAAAACGTTTATACAGAAGCACTAACTGACATGTACAATTATTGCAATGATTGTCAATGCAGGTGCTGTTTCAATATTTCGAAAATAATTTTTTAATGTGAATCTTACAATAATTTAATACTTTAAGTAATAAATATATCAACAATTATAATATCAACGTGTCAGTGAAAAAAGGGTGTTAAGTCAATTCTATTGAGAATATATGAATGAAAACGGTATTTTAAAATATTATGCACTTTTAAAAATAGTAATTGCCTAATTATTTTTTATATTGGTCCAATTTAGCAGAAGAATGGTCAACAGATAGTTTTGATGAGATAAGAACGTCACTTACCTGGGGGAGGTTTAAAATTTACAACTCCTTCAGGTAAAGATAAAAATCTATATTATATTAGATAACAAAAAAATTACAATAATTCTTTGAAGTTGCATATCGGTTTATCACCAAAAGTGTGAATTTAAACTGGAATTGTGATTATAGATATGAATGACATAAAAAGGGCAAAACGTCCAATAAACATAAAAATTAATTAGTTATTCCATGTATTAATAATTTTTCATAACTAAATCTGACGTAATATCAAATGAACATATTTTGTACAAAACATATCAAAGAGACAAACCTGTTTTTGTACGTTTTAAATTAATTATATGCGGTCATATATGTAGGATTGCCACATCGGTATTGCGCCGTATTGGCATTCCTCTCTCACTGGCCATCTCTCTACTTTATATATACTTTATTGCAAAAAGTAAAACCCTGACGGTTAAAATGCAAGCATAATATACACAAGAAACATACAATACATGAAAAAAGTGGTAAACAAGTCAAGTTAATATTAATATATATATATAGGTATATAGATAATTGACCAATGTGGACCTTATTTTCGCAATTCCATGGATTGCTTTCTATAGCCTACAACACTAGACAAAATATCTTTATTGGGATCTAAAATAGTTTTAAGTTTAGAGTTTGAGTCAAGCTGGTAAAAATTAGGATAATGGGTTTTAATTGCATTTATAAGGGGATTTCTAATATTACTGTTGATTTGGCAATGTACTTATTTATCACTTTTTCTAAAGACTGATGACTCATTTTTTTAAATTTCTTTAGACATATTTTCTATCATTTGAATTTAGATAAATCGTGGTATGTATTTGCATGCTTTAAATCTACATTTTATCCTAAACATTTCAAATGATTCTGGTTAAATCAAAATTATGAATTGTAGAAAAAGAAATCAAAGTTTAACTGTGTTTCAGACATTTACTTTTCATTTCAGGGGAAATTTCTACAATCAATATGTTTATTTCTTTAAACAGTATTTGAATTGTTTCCTAAGTGTCATTCTAACAACTTGACAACTATGACTTCTCTTCCATTAAAGGATGCCATAGAGAAACTCGTTACTTCTGCGACACCGAGTCCGTTATTTTAATACAAAGTTATTGCTCTAGGATAAAATGAGGTGTGCGCCAGTCGCACGAATTGTTCACAATATTAAAACTGTTCTGTGAAGTGTGTAAAATTTGTAGTTTCAGTCCAATAATAAAGTTAATTTTACTCAGCAAGACATGATCCTATCGAATCGTATTATGTTTTGCACAAAGGGTATCTCTCTGTTTGCAGCCATGATGAATGTAAATCTAAATTATAACTTGTAGCTATATCAATTGAAACAGGAGTGCTAAAAAAATTCTAGTTTTGACATTTGATTCACCCTTTTAATATTTCAAACCAAAACAGATAAAAATAACATCAAGAAATCATATATTCATCCTATTTTAAATGATGGTTATTGCTGACTGCCATTGGCGATTGCCAAAAAAATTGATCACCAGATGTATCAAAATGGATCTTAATATTAATTTAATACCAAACAGAAAACAATAAACATATAAATATATATATATATATATATATATATATATATATATATATATATACTATCAAACTAAAATATGTCCTGACTCGAAATATTTTTGTTCTGGAATATAAAGGAAGGGTATATATTATAATCAAATATTTTAAAATCTATCATAAAGACATCTGCTAATTTATCTAAAGTCTGTAAAGAAAGTGTACTAAAAGCATCAATAAGATATTTTCGTTTTTGTGATCGCAGGTCAAATGTTTGTGACTGCTTATTTGCATTGATAAAAGTTAATAATAATTTCTCTTCTGTAATATTTTCTGACTCTTTATAGGGAAAAGGCAAATTAATTTCATCCGCGATTATTCCTCTTAACTGTAGCTTACGCCATGTTCTTTTGAGACTCTCCTCGTAGCTTAAACATTTTGAAGCTTCTTTTCTGAACTCTATAAAAGTGTGACTTACATCATACAAAGCATCAAAGACCGATTGGTTTTTAAAATTTCTTAAAACCGGTAGATATTGTGTTAAATTTAGTTTCTCCAGTATGAACAAAACATCTTTTTCAAATGATTCTATTTTACCAATGAAATCATATTGTATGTAACAAGGAAGACACAATTGGTGTGCTGGAATAAAATGAACGTCACGTCTGCTCTTCGGATTATTATTGGAATGAATAATGTACTCTACAAATTCTTTAAAAGATACATCATGTCCACATGCATTTGTTATTCCCCTTGCTAAGCTGATGGCATTCATGCCTATCTTGTTCCAGTAATACGGATTTGGAGAGTATATTTTGTCAATAAAACCAGATAGTAACCTTGTATAGGGATTTCTCACAAATATAAATTTTGTAAATGACTTCAGTACACCTAGCACTTCCAATAGGTTTGATTTAGATATATCCACATAGTAAGCATTTGCTAATTCTGGTCTTATTCGATAAGGTGTTTGTACTTTGCTTAGCTGTATATATTGAAGTAAACGTCTCCAGAATGTTGATCCGGCCTTTTCTATCCCACAGTAAATGAATTTATGAGCTGTGTTTGGTTGTAGTTGACGACGAAACATTCTCTCTGATGTTTTAATCTCTATATTTTCCAAAGTTTGACACTGTGAAAGCTGATGTCGATATCTATCATTTATAACTTTACTAATGGAGTAGTCAAAATTTTCAGACTGCAATATATGGAAGAATAGTTTGGTAAAAGATAAACACTACAGTAATACACAGGCCAAACTGTCTTTAAATACTTCTACCAAGTTACGGGAAGTTAAGAAGAAGCAATTAAGTTAAGGCCACTTTTTTGAAACCGTGAGTTCTACAATCACAACTCATTGTAAATCTTTCAAATGACATACGTCAGATGTTCACAAGTTACATATCTTTCAGATAAAGCAAAATGATATAACAAAAGTGGGTTAAATATTTGCTAAGGCCTTCGAAATTCGTGGAATAGAAATAACTAAAGTTGTCACATTTTTAGATCTGATTTTAGCAACATCCCTTCTTAAAACCACAAGGATTGACTCTGATATAGAAATATGGTCATCCATGTTCTTCTCCCGTCCGGCAGTAAAGCCTTTGCTGACTTAGGGCTGTGCGGGATGTGTAAATTCAAGGCCATGTCCGGTCGGAATAGACATTGAAGACCCCTTGCAATAACTCTTGGAAGTCAGTTGATGTCCTGATGCAAGACAAAATGTCTGCTCCTATGACACATACTCTCATTTTCCAGTTGCAAGTTCAAATTCACCGTCCTTCATCCCAGTCGACATACTATGAAGAACCTACCTTATGTATGATTGTTAATTTGTTCTCTCGGCGTCTTAAATATGCATGAAATAATTTTACCACTGGACGTTAAGCAAGCAACAATCAATCAATCAATCCTTTACTAAATAGATATTCTACATTAAGCTGTTTTACAGCAAGGCTGTGGCTCATATCTAATTTAACAAAAGAAATACGTTAATTTGATTCAAATATGCTCCGTGTTCATGAGTAACACAACTGTACTATAGAAATATGTCATCTTTTTAACAAATATTTTTGGAGGGGTTCGTGTTGCTCAGACTTTAATTTCTACATCGGATGACCGTGATGGCATTCCGGTGTATTGTTGCCACAGACATTTCTACCCACGTGACTTTCGTTTTTGACTGATAACCGAACGCAAAATAACATTCCTTATCGCTTGTTAGATATCAATTTCATCAATAAATATTCATGAAAATAATTTTTAAGAACATAGATAAATGATATGAAAATGTTTTGTCGTGAGAAATATATATATCAATAACAAATCAAGAATGCCGAAAATTTGTGTTAACGCATGCGGAAGAATATCTCTAGAACGTTTTGCGAGAAAATATGAATGCCTACTCAAATCCAATCTATTAGAAAAATCGAATTATTACAGAAGAGTGTCCACCATGCACTTGCACTGCACTATTATTAGAATAGTAGAATAGAATGATATACAAATGGATGAAAATTATATATACATGTAACTGTTATATACAAATATTAATATAATATATAACAACAAACCAGAGTATACTGATTTGTATCACTACAATATAATAGTTATTACGGTGAGGTTGAATTCCCTGTCATTCATTCATCATCCACGCACGAACTTGTCCCAGAAAAAAAATATATCTATGTACCTTAACCTCACTTTCAGGTATAGAGATGTGATTTTTTTTTCTGAGACAAGTGCTTGTGACCATCCACAAGAACAAGCGGTCATCCGATGTTCAGTACTTCAGTACTTTGATTTATACTGTGCTTTGTATACTGTTGTTTGGTCGTTTATCGGTATATTTGCAATGGCGATTTATGAGTATGAATACCCCTTTGGTATCTGATATTTGGGATAAAAAAAAAAATCTGAGACAAATGATCGTGAACATGATTTAAGAAAAACATTTTTCTGTCTGTGTATTCTTTGTTTGTGAATGTTGTTATCAATCATCTTCGCAGTTCCTTTTTTCGTTTTGTTTTTTTCTAATATTTTCATGTCCAGTGATGTTTAATTCAAATATGTAGCTCAAAGAATTGCTTTGTCCCGATTGCATAATTTCATACTGCACTTTTCAATCTTAGATCTATTTCGTGTTAACTTTATAAGGGATGAGCATTCACAACCATATTTAACCACGCCACATTCTTAATGTGCCTGTTAAAAAAAAAGTTTTAATTCGCTGATGAATTTATGGGAGAATATCTCATAGACATAGTTCATCTCCAAACTAGTATTTACTTAGTTTATCACAGTTATTTGAAGCTGATTTCAAATTAAATGTTCACTGTCGAGTTTTTTTTTATCAAATCTTATAGTTCTCTGTGATTGCCTTAATGATGTTGTGATATGTTGAGAACTCAAAAAGAACTTATTGAAAATTTCAAATCTCGGTCCTTCTCTGAAATAATTCTTTCAAAATCTTGGATTTTTCTACCCTTTACACCACCATACCTCATAAAAAGAATGAAAACCCGTCTAAAAAAATAATCCACAATGCATTCTTCCATAGAACTGGTCCCATACGCTACACATTTATTGTTTTAGGATATAGTTCGGCATACTTTGTTAAAAATGAGCCCAAAAATAAAATATGCTTCATCGAAGGACAAGTGATCAGTATGCTGGAGTTTCTCATTGACAACATATTTGTTGAATTTGGAGGTAGAATTTTTCAGCAGTTTGTCGGGATTCCATACGATATTCAAGAGCTTGCAGCTGCTACTCAGGCTTTGCAAAACGTCATCAGTGTCTGAGCAAAAAATTAATGAGCCAGAGTTTTTGTCGAAGAACGTCTCGTCTATTTCTCAAAAAGTTCATAGGAAAGTACCCATACCTAGTAGATAAACATTCAATGTCTACTTCACAAATAATACAATATGGTCTTGAGTAATAGATTCTAGGTGCTGAAGTTGTGTAGATTTTTATTTACTTTAAAGTTTTTCCTTTATTTGTCTTTGTGCTTTTATGCTCCTTTTGGTCGTATGACTCTTGACGTTACTCGGTATTTATGCACCCAGCAATCAGGATTTGGCTTTGGGCGTTCCTGGTGCATGTGGGTCTAGAGGTGCGATTCGGACGGTTTTTACAGTGTTCTTTTCATTTTGTTTACCTTTGTATATGTTGTGTACAAATTGTAATGTTGTACAGAATTTTTGTACAAGTAATCAGTGTTTTATGAACCGCTTAACACACATGGATGATAAAAGCACACAGTCTTTTGTTTTGCATATTTCTGTCACATTTCCATGACTACATGATAATTTAAACCATTCAGGTGTCCTTACTTCCAGTTTTAGGACAAGGAGAATGGCACTAAATGTTAGGTTGAAGTATATAAACTTGAATTTAAGACATTAAGCTGATAAATTTTAGAAGACAAACTTTTATAATCTGGTGCAAAAAACTTATAACTTGTATAAAAACCCTATACAAATTATAATTTGTACAAACTTGCATCTTGTACACAACATATATATAATATTTTACTTAATTTGTACTTTATCGAGAAAGTGTATGCTAGATACTGTATGTACTATCAACTACAAATCCCTATTTGTTGTTTTTTTTGGTCAGATTTACTATCAAATACTACACAAATGTTTGTTGGCGTCTTTGTTAGATTTATTTGTATGTTTCTTTCAATTTTTTTAGTCAGTTGTGTTGTGTGTCTGTCATGTATGTTTACAGTTTTGGGCGCTGGATCTCAATTATGATTGTCATATTAACCTGTTGTGTCTGTATGGGTTGCTCACCAAATTTTGTAAATATAACGGAACTATAAACATCTGTCATACAAGTTTGAGGTTTGGCTAGCTATAAAACCAGGTTTAACTCCCCCCCCCCCCCCCCCCCATTTTCTTGGGAAAATTTGTACTAAGTCAGAAATATGACAGCCTTTTTCCATTTGTTCCGTAGGTTGATAAAGTCTAATGTTAAATTTTGTCAGTTTTTATGGACTTCCCCTTTTTGAATTTACCCTCTAGTTCATTATTTTGGTAGATATTTTATACTATACTATCGAGTATCGTGTCCGGTAATAAATGACAGTATTTGTAAGAAGTCATATTCACATATTGTAATGTGTAAATGATATGGGGATTTTATCATGTATACCAACAGTAAATGACGAAAATAAATAATATAATCTAGAATTTAAAAAAATTTCAACAGATTGGTATATCATTCATCCCACTGCTGTAACTTTTTGAACATATAATCATGCTTTCTATTGTCAGCCTTTTAGATATGAACGATTGACTGTTGTTTGCTGTATGTCCAGTTGCAAATATTTCATGCATGTTCAGGATAAAAATGAAAGTTTAGGTCACGTGAAGGAAAAGTCACATCTAAGTACGCAATCTCTTTTACTCTTTTCAGAAGTACTACACCAGGAGTATATTATGTTAGCTGTATTTAGCAAAACCTTTCGGAATTTTTGGTGCTCTTCAACTTCATTGTTTTTGGTCTTTTTAACTGTTTATTTCGAGCGACACCGATGAGCCTTATGTAGACAAAACGCGTTTCTATAGTGTACAAACCAAGTCTAAATGAACGCATTTTCTATTAATCTTGAAATTCTACAAATTAATTACATTTGCTGACTCTATTCTGGAGTTGTTGTTTCTATTCACATGAACACAGCTGCGTAATTTGGAAAATTCTTGTAACTCTTTACCTGCAAATATTATAAACATTAAATCTTTGATGAGATTGGGGTAATAGACTATACACTGGCACTGCTTAATTTAACTGTCTCCAAGTTCAGGCACATTTATTACATATTAAAGTTAAATTTCGCTTTGCTTCTGAATAAGAGGTGATAAAGATAATGCCGGTTCAAAGCCATTCCTTTTATACAAAAAAAAAAGAATAAAAAGATTGAACCTCAAGGTACAGTTATACAAACATAAAAGTAGTAGCAGAATGATCTTTGTAAGGATGAAAACCAGGTGTGTTGACAGGGTAATCATCTCTTTATTGCATGTATCTCCTTCCAAAGGATGTTGTATATAAACAGTACCAGTTGCATTTGAGTATGTGTATATTACGGCTTCTTGTCTTCTTTCCATATTGTTTTATTGATGCGTATTGTTTTTGCCCTTGAAGATGATCAGATTTTACCCGAGGACTGAATTATAGTTGCTGCAAGGCATGTGAATTGTTCATCCATTTCGAGGGGTTGTGAATTTAAGTATGTTAAGCAGCTCCATTTGAGATTTAATGTTAGTTGTATTGGAGTTTCTCTTCAACATTGGAATTTCACTTGCTATCGATATTTTCAACTAGCCAGGGATAATATATACTATCGGGAAAGTGTATTCTAATACGGCATTATGTTTTATATCAATTACAAAAACTTTTTTGTTAGCGTCTTTTTCAGATTGACTATCAACTACAATAACTTTTTAGCTGGTGTCTTTGTAAGATTTATTTGTATGTTTGTTTGAATTTTCTAGTCAGTTGTGTTTTATGTCTGTGATGTATGTTTACACATTTTTGGCTGATGGATCCTAATTACTAGTATTGTCATATTAACCAATTATGTCTGTTTTGGTTTCTCACTCAATTTTGTCAATATAACGCAACTATAAACAACTGTCGTGCAAGTGGAAGGTTTAGTTAGCTAGCTATAAAACCATGGCATTTTAAACCCACTATTTTCTTCGAAAAATCCCTCTACCAAGTCGGAATATGACAGTTGTTTTTCATTTGTTCCGTTGGTTGATATAGTCTAAGGTTTGATGTTTTTCATGATTTGTGGACTTCTCCTTTTTTGAATTTACCTTGGAGTTCGGTATTTTTGTTAATACTTTTTTGCTAAAAAAAAAACTGGAACCCCATAATCAGAATTATACACAAAACATTGGTGTTCAACTTTTCCTGAGGAAGCCTTAGTTTAAGTACAATTGCCCAATTAATTTAACTGAAAACTTGCAATCAAAATGTATTTAAATCATGTTAGTACCATAGTAGCTACAGAATTATCAGTGCACAGGCAGCGGCGCCGATCCAGTCAGACGGGGCGCAACTGTCGCCCGACCCGACCCCTAAACAATAAAATGTAATAAAGATAAAATTACAGCTAATTTTGTGGCAAAATAAGTTCCTCAAATTGCTAATTTTCAGGAGCAACCCCTTTTCCCCCAAACATCAAATTCCTGGATCCACGCAAGCCAGTGATTGTAAAATAAAGATTAATTACTGATATTAGTGCGCACGAAACATGTTCCTGGAATACACAGCTGTCATATTTTACACACAAGACCAATGTCAAATGTAGAATGACTAATTTAATCTAATATTTATAATATAGAGCACCTACTTACCGAGTTGTAAAGTTTTAAACTGCTCAATACAAATATTTTGCTGTGAATCACGGGATTTACATTGAATTGGCAAGATTGCTTAACACCGTGTTGGTTATACAAGCTATTATCTTCATTTTACTATAGAGATCCAGCCTGTTAACCCGATTTACTTGGGGAGTCCGAGGTGGGGAATTAAAATAAATATTTTAAAGGGGCATTAATTGTTAAATTCATGTTCACCGATTTGACTCAAATTCTCATATTCGATTTATAACATACTAAAACGTAGATCCAAATTATAAAAAGTCTAAAATAATCAATTTACAATGCATGGGCTCGGTAATATGTATCAACATTTCGTGTGTATTTGTTGTCTAGACACCATCTAATTAACCATCGAAGTGACCTCCGAAGACTGCCGACGGTAATATAACACGATATAAACATAAATATAGATATAAATAGATTGCGAACTCGTGCAATTGTATCTGTCTAGGTCTGTTTGATTTCATATTTAAGGTTAAAATATATGTTAATCATCGTTTTTACCTGTATAAGAATGAGTTTTTGTGGATTGAATCAGTCAATCAAATGGTTTACCCTTGTTTCACTTTCAATGTTGACATTCTTTTCCTTTTAATAACTGAACACGCCTAATTCATAACATACATCTAGCTAAGGGGTTAAATTGAAGGTCACACGAATACGGATTCAATGAGGTCGAATTATTCACTTGCAAGCGAATAATTCATCAGTGATGTTTCTTATCTTATATTGTCAAATTTAAGGTTAACTTGGCTGAACCAAACTGGCTTCTAAAAGTGAATTATTATTTCACTTTCATTAATGATTGAACAAAACAAAATCATATTTTATTTTTTTTATATCTCGTAGCTAATGCTCCTTTAACAAAACCAATCTTTAAATTTATAATTGTTATCAATACTAGAGCTAGTATTATTTTTTTTAAATTTTTTTATCATCCAGTTGTTTTATTTACCATTCTACCGATTAAACTCTCATGACTCATACTCATGGTGTGGTTGGTATGCTGCAATGACCGTTTCCGACCGTCAGAATGTCTGTTCGTACATCCGTAAATACCGTTACATATTACAAAGCTTCTTTATTAATGAATGATTTAATAGTAAGTTAGTCTGAAACTTTCAATAACGTTCAATTGTTCTCCGTAAGCAATTTTGAGATCTGCCGGACAGTTACTTATTCCTGTTTGACGATACTTCATTTTTTTATTACAACCACTGAACATGGAATTTTCGTCATTCGTTAATACGATTTGGTGTAAAGTTTCCAGGAAAATCAATATTTACCTTCGCTGGTTGTGATGATATACAATAAGATATATCCAATCGCCATAACAAGATATGTACACAACAACAATACAGATACTAGTTTCCACTTTCTCCACACCATCTGGTTTGTTTTAGCAATCAATCGGCCTTTTACCAGATATACTTGAAATATTGAAATATACATTCAAAATATCAGATTAGTCATGACACACAAATGCGAAAACATGAAACTTTTTGTGCTATATAGTAAGACATTTTGTGCTATATAGTAAGACATATTCAATAAATATTTTCGGAAATTATTTAAAGTATCATAAAGTTTGTTTATCTATTTTGCAGTTGTTCCAATGTATCGGCTCATTATTTGAATATTCAAACTACGCAGCTATATTGTTTTTATTTTAAACATTCAATCATAAAATGGATCAGGTACTGACATGATTTAAAACAAGCATGTTGAAAAAAAAGAAGAAATTCTTTAGAAACTGAGATTCCAACTCCCTCAGACATAGTTAACCTTAGATATATTTGACTATTCTTTTATGTCCCTTTTGATCTTTTAGCTTCTAACGTGGATTCAGTTTTACAAATTTGACTTTCAAATGACGATTGATTAGGTTTGAGCGTTCATTATTAAGGTAAATCCAGGATAATACCGAAAGTAGAAGGTCTGTTTCATATGTTGATCTTTTGACATTTTTACCTATTATGTCTGTTTGTTTTGCTCACACATTGTTGTCAATATAATGAATTTTTTTGCGACTGTCATACAAGTGAGAGGTTTAGCTAGATATAAAATGAGGTTTAATCCACCTTTTCTACATAAGGCAATGCCTGTACCAAGTCAGGAATACGACAGTTGTTTTTCATTCGTTTGATGTGTTTGAGCTTTTGATTTTGCCATTTGATAAAGAACTTTCCGTTTTGAATTTTCCTTGCAGTTCGGTAATTTTGTTATTTTACTTTTTCCTCGATACTGACACAGATTGACGACTTCAAACAAGAATCTATGACAAACGTGATGATTTCAACTTTCCAATTGCCAACTTTCCATTTCTAGTTAGCATTCCCTCTGCTACATCGTTTGGCGTTTACATATCTCAGTTAAAATGTTACGTTCGTGCATGTTTACACTCTACGGACTTCATTAACATGCATGCGCTCCTACATAAAAACTGCTCCAACAGAGTTATGAGGAAGAACAACTGAAATCGACACTACATACTAGTAAGTTTTATGATGATTTTTTAACTAAAAAGTCTTTCTACTCTGTTCAAGAAATGTTGACGTAACCTCATTTTTACAGTGACAGTCTGGACGCTTAGCAAGCAACATTCATATCTATATAATCAACAAAATCAATGGGTGTTCTCCATGAATCTGCAGTTGGTTTGTCATGCTCACAGTGTGTGTTTTATGTTTAAACCATTTACTTTATGCGTATATGCACTTTTGAAATAAGAATTCTCGTATCATACACAAATATTCGGGATATTAAATGATAAAATTTAAAATCATTACATAGAAATTATAAGTAGTTGTCAAATCTTTTTTTTTTTTTTACTTCCAACGCCCTTTATTATCTTAAAACTTGTTAACAAATAAGAAAAAAAAAGAAAGGAATCTCACCCTTATCCTCGGTTTGAGATCAGTTTGAGAAGATAATAAAAAATTAATGTTAAACACATTAATTGATAACGTTTAAATTCTGATAAATTAACAAAAATCATGAAAGACTAAAAATCTTACCAGTTTGTAAATCTCCAATTGTCTTGACGATAAAAGATGATTTTGATCATTCTTTTTGCGATCTATATTTCATATTTTCTCTAAAATGATATCATTTATTATTGATAAACTAGGTTGAAAATCAATACAGAAGAGTCAGATTGTGTTCTTTTGGGATGGACCAAACAATCACTGAAAAGATTGAATCACATCCAAACTTAACGAAGAAATCATTTCAGGTACAACAAAAGAATATGTTATTTCATTCTAATTACGATACAAAAAATTATATGGTTGTTTTCCTCAAGACAACACGTAATTGTTATATTTTAGCGCAACTAATAATACCGATTAATCACAATATTAAAAAACTGTCTATATCATATCGAATTATGCAATACGAAAAGTAATGTGTTTAAAGGGCGGAAACTATACAGAAACAAATCAATCTACTTCCGCAGTGTAAAAAGGAAAAAAAAAAAACGATTCATAAGTTTTGATTGGCCGAGGCATTCGAAAAGTTATATTGTATTTTCGTATAGAAAAAGCCTTGAATTTAATCGTAATTTCATGGTTATAGCATAAAACTGAAATAAGAAGAATCGAATGCTTCTTTTTTTGTAATTTAATAAGGTTGAACATGCGTACATTTTCAGTATGAAGCGCTTCATATACAAAGAGTCCTTCGGTCAACACTTCTACACGCCAATAAAATTAGAAAAAGAAGCATTTAAATCTTAAATTGTTTAGTAAAACATTAAATCTGTAAAACAATATCGAACGAAACTTTGTCGAAGAAAAAATGAGAAAAATGGTTGCGCTTTCAAGGAAATCGCCTGTCGTCTCCAAATAATATAAAAATCCATGTTTAGCTATGGGGAACCATTAAACATTACACAAATTAAAACAAAAGTGGTTACCTCTTGGTGTCTCCCTATCCAAACGCTGTCAAGTGACTGAATATATGAATATATATATTATTTGTACAAAATGACGTTTGTCTCCATACAGTGATCCGGAAGTTTTACTAGTCATATGCATCAGAAAAATAGGAATAAAATACAGACAAAAATCTTTTTTAATGTTTCATTCATTTTAAATCAGAAAATTGGAAAGGAATTCCGAAAAAAAAATGTATTTTAGTTGTTATTATCTTAGGCTGGTCCTCTCCCTTGCAACATACGGGTATCTCAGATACCCTTGTTGTCAAGCCAAACAGATAAAGGACAGGGAACCAGTCTATTATTATCTTAGAATTTTACAGCAGATCCTTGATGGTTCTGTTTAATTTATTCAAAACGGAACGATTAACAGCTTAAAATTCTAAAGAGACATTACTAAAGTACTTGACTGTTGTTGAAGATCTTATGCTGACCTCGAGATCACTTTTGGTTACAAGTGTTGTCGAGTCGCTAACTGACATTGACGTTTAACTATATATCCTGTTATTCATTTTACCCAATCACTTTTAGTCCGAGATTGCTCTGATATCTGCGGGCTCAATTTTTTACTTTCTGTGAACCGTTGGACACACAAAGACCGTCAGGCATCAAATAAAGCATAATCCAAATCACTATATGAAGTAAGAATACGAAAAACTATTCTAGTAAAACAAGAAAATTAAGAATGGATCTGATTTTGAAATCTACAGTTTTTCAATGTGAAATTGAAATCTAAACAGTGAGCTTAGAAGATTGTCTCAAGAATAAAGTAAGACTGTATCAAAGAAGTGTGTGTGGTAATCAAAATAAAATTCAAAGAAGGCCAGGTAACACTACTAGGTAGCAGACTGAGCACGACAACTCCAGCTAAAACTCGAACTAATGTGTTCTGTGTGGGTTATCAGATGTGCTCTACCAGAGACATATTCGCGATGCTCGTATTCAAATTTTGTAATACATAAAAAAGATAACAGAAAGTCACCAAAAGTACTGGACAGAACAAAATATCACATCAACCAATAAACCAACTCCTCCGAAAAAGTTAAAATTAGTGATACTCCTTTATTACTGTAGCGGATTTAAAGATAGCTAGATTCTATTTAACAAAATTTTCTGCCATCGATACGTATAAATCGTCTTAGGGGACTAACAAGTTATTCATTTTCAAAATCCTCCCGCCTCCCCCTCCTTTTGAAAGACAGAAACTACACTTTCGAAAAGGAAAGAGAAATAACTAAGATCTAACATCAACCATTTACTGACGATGTTCATTGCTAGGGACAGGCACATGAACATTTTGAGAAGGTAAAACTCATTTTTGAGCACTCATCCCTCATATCTAATCTCTACAAAACCAAAATAACAAAAGGTTCATAGAGGAAATTTTATTAAAAATAAATCCAAGAAAGTAATTAACTCTTTAATACCGATACAATAGACAACAAAGACAACCGTACAAATGAAAAGTAACTAAATAAATGCCAGCAGTAACCGGTTGTATTTTACTTTTGCGTAGAGTTGACTTAATGTTAAATATAAATTCATTTACCACAACCACTTCTAATTACCAGATCCAACCTTTAAATATAGCTGCATCTTAACTGTGTCAGAATCTTATGATTTTCAAAAATTTTAACAAAATTCGGTCGTTTTCATATTGTTTGTCCATATGTGTGTTTCTTGTTTGAGTGTGTTGGTTTTTTTTTGTACAGTTTCTATGTCCAGTATACTTGGTGATTCCCTTTGAATGCATACAGACTTAATTTTACTGTATTTTGTACAGAATATAAACCCAAGTTCTTTAACTTACTCATCTACAACATCTTTTCCCATGCAAAAGTTCTAACACTTTAGATCGAAGATTATTCTCCATTATCTAAGTTAATTGTAGTTATGGACATACGTATTATGAAATTGGTACTTCAACCTTACCATGTATTTTTGCATTTATCTAATATTCTCATTTTAACATTTCACTTACCTGAACAATGTTGTTTTATTATTTGGATTCCTTGTTTCACATTAAGCTCAGCAAAATGATTTTATTATTTGGATCCCTTGTTTTACATTTAGCTCAGTAAAATTATTTTATTATTTGGATCTCTTGTTTCACATTAAGCTCAGTAAAATGATTTTATTATTTGGATCCCTTGTTTCACATTTAGCTCAGTAAAATGATTTTATTATTTGGATCCCTTGTTTCACGTTTAGCTCAGTAAAATGATTTTATTATTTTGATCCCTTGTTTCACATTTAGCTCAGCAAAATGATTTTATTATTTGGATCCAATGATTTTATTATCTGAATCCCTTTGTTATTTTAAGCTCAGTAGAATGATTTTATTATTTGGATCCCTTGTTTCACAATAAGCTCAGTAAAATGATTTTATTATTTGGATCCCTTGTTTCACATTAAGCTCAGCAAAATGATTTTATTATTTGGATCCCTTGTTTCACATTGAGCTCAGTAAAATGTTGTTTTATTATTTTGATCTCTTGTTTCACATTAAGCTCAGTAAAATGATTTTATTATTTGGATCCCTTGTTTCACATTTAGCTCAGTAAAATGATTTTATTATTTGGATCCCTTGTTTCACATTAAGCTCAGCAAAATGATTTTATTATTTGGATCCCTTGTTTCACATTTAGCTCAGTAAAATGTTGTTTTATTATTTTGATCTCTTGTTTCACATTAAGCTCAGTAAAATGATTTTATTATTTGGATCCCTTGTTTCACATTTAGCTCAGTAAAATGATTTTATTATTTGGATCCATTGTTTCACGTTTAGCTCAGTAAAATGATTTTATAATTTTGATCCCTTGTTTCACATTAAGCTCAGCAAAATGATTTTATTATTTGGATCCAATGATTTTATTATCTGAATCCCTTTGTTATTTTAAGCTCAGTAAAATGATTTTATTATTTGGATCCCTTGTTTCACAATAAGCTCAGTAAAATGATTTTATTATTTGGATCCCTTGTTTCACATTAAGCTCAGCAAAATGATTTTATTATTTGGATCCCTTGTTTCACATTTAGCTCAGTAAAATGTTGTTTTATTATTTTGATTCCTTGTTTCACATTTAGCTCAGCAAAATGATTTTATTATTTGGATCCCTTGTTTCACTTTTAGCTCAGTAAAATGATTTTATTATTTGAATCCATTGTTTCACATTAAGCTCAGCAAAATGATTTTATTATTTGGGTCCCTTGTTTCCCATTAAGCTCAGCAAAACGATTTTATTATTTGGATCCCTTGTTTCACATTTAGCTCAGTAAAATGATTTTATTATTTTGATCCCTTGTTTCACATTAAGCTCAGCAAAACGATTTTATTATTTGGATCTCTTGTTTCACATTTAGCTCAGCAAAATGATTTTATTATTAGGATCCCTTATTTCACATTTAGCTCAGCAAAATGATTTTATTATTTGGATCCCTTGTTTCACATTAAGCTCAGCAAAATGATTTTATTAATTCGATCCCTTGTTTCACATTTAGCTTAGTAAAATGATTTTATTATATGGATCACTTGTTTCACATTTAGCCCAGCAAAATGTTTTTAATATTTGGATCCCTTGTTTCACATTTAGCTCAGTAAAACGATTTTATCATTTGGATTCCTTGTTTCACATTTAGCTCAGCAAAAAGATTTTATTATTTGGATCCCTTGTTTCACATTTAGCTCAGCAAAATGATTTTATTATTTGGATCCCTTGTTTGACATTTAGCTCAGCAAAATGATTTTATTATTAGGATCCCTTGTTTCACATTTAGCCCAGCAAAAAGTTTTTAATATTTGGAACCCTTGTTTCACATTAAACTCAGCTAAATGATTTTATTATTTGGATCCCTTGTTTCACATTTAGCTCAGCAAAATGATTTTATTATTTGGATCTCTTGTTTCACATTTAGCTCAGCAAAATGATTTTATTATTTGGATCCCTTGTTTCACATTAAGGTCAGTAAAATGATTTTTTTATTTGGATCCCTTGTTTCACATTAAGCTCAGTAAAATGAATTTATTATTTGGATCCCTTGTTTCACAATTAGCTCAGTAAAATGATTTTATTATTTGATCCCTTTTAGCTCTGCAAAATGATTTTATTATTTGGATCCCTTGTTTCACATTAAGCTCAGAAAAATGATTTTATTATTTGGATCCCTTGTTTCACATTTAGCTCAACAAAATGATTTTATTATTTAGATCCCTTTGTTATTTTAAGCTAAGCAAAATGATTTTATTATCTGGATCCCTTGTTTCACATTTAGCTCAGCAAAATGATTTTATTATTTTTTAATTGATTGTTTCAAACATCACCTAGAACAGGTTTTATTCAAATCAAAATTGGAGCAATGAAAATTGCAATTCCACTAATATTGATGAATTTTGTATGTTATATAAGATTATATTTTTGATATAAAAAAAAACAACCTCACAAGAATAATAAGAAATTAACTGTTAATCAAGAGCGCAAGACACGCTTATCCACAAATAAGTGATAGGAAACATAATAATTATGTAAGTTCAGTATTTATTATTTAAATTCGATAAATCTGAAACGACTAAATCTGAAAATGATTTTGATCAAAATAGCCTACTTTGATTAGCCGTGAGAGTGTTAAAAAATCATGTGATTTGATAAAAACGAAACTTGAAATTTCATCATACATATGAAAGTTCTTGTATTTAGACGATTAAAGTCCAATAACGTGATCCTCTTTCATAACATATTGTTTTTCAAAGAATTACTCCCTTCAATCACATTCTCTTTGTAATAAATTACCCTTCAACTTCAAAACCAATTTTATAAATAAGAATAACGATATTCCTCTATCATAGCTTTTCATGTAGTACCTCTTAGACAGCGCTCTGTACAGTAATACTGACTGTGTGTAGCGACGGCCTCTTGGTCGTCTTGAAAATGCCTCGACATTTCAAAATGGACGATTTTAAACATTGTTTAAAGTTTTCGTTCATAAAGCCATACACAATAGGGTTTAAAACGCAGTTTAAGTAACCCAGTATATGAACGATAGTTTGAGCTGACCTAAAAGAGTTATCAATATCATGTTCTAAATGATGCAGTTGAATGGCAAAAAACGGAAGCCAGCATAATCCGAACAGAACAACCACTGTTATGAGCATTCGGATTATTTTTCTCTTCTGTCGTCGTGTTTTAATAAGATACTGTGGAGATCCTAGAGAGTCACCTATAGGTTTTCGTATCCAAAGCTGATACGCTATTCTACCATAAGCACAAAACATAACTACCATTGGAACTGTGTAAAAAACTAGAAACATAAAAAGTGTGTGCACAACATCATAAACATGTTCCGAATAGTATTCTGCGCAGACATAGGCTAATTTGATATACACAAATTCTACTTTAAGTCGTATTTCTAGTCTTTGTATCATTAACATTGGTATGGACACGGTCAATGAAAATATCCAAATTATGGCAATGAGAATCCCAGCTCTCTGTGGTGTTCTTATATAGCGTGCTTTTAAAGGGTGGCAAATAGCGTAGTACCTAAATAATAAAAAAAATAGAATTAGTTTGACCTTTAAATGGTTCTGTGGAACTGTAGTAATACATAATTTGTCATATAATTGTAATATCTTACAAACTGAATTCGATACTGATGAATTCAGAACACGATCACAAAGCATAAGAGTTAAAACCAGATTAATAAAAAAAAACAACAACAAAGAAACAGATTTCTGTAAATACATGGAGCGTTTTTTTTTTATATTATAACAAATCAATTCAATTTTTATTTAAGAACATTATAACCATTCGGCCGATTTGAAGATTTGGCAGACTAAGAAATGGGACGGAGAACCACCAAAACTACTGGAAAGCGAGGGTGTATTGGGTAGTACTAGAAACTTATAGCCTTGCAACTGGTCATCTACGGACGTTAAGTTATTCGGGATCTTCACAGGGGATATGGGTTCATATTCTCTGTCAGTGTTTTATATCTCTTGAGCTGCAAGCCCGAATAACAATTATATTATACTGGAGTGTCCTGATATCAACAGTTCTTCGTTTTTATTCACAGGGTATATGGGCTCACACCCTGTCAAGATAACCAATCGAATTGCAGGATTAGCTGAGATATTTCAATGCATTATACTATACTATAATTACTTTGATTTTTAAAAATGTGAATAGCTTTGTATTCCAACAAGTAAATGCCAATGTAACTACTTCATCATTTCGGTCGTTACCGAGTATTTATACACAGTAAATTTTTTTCGGCGCTAGAAGTCAATGTGTCGGCATTTGTTGCTCAGAATTGTTTCCAGTTCGTAAACTTGCGAAGGGGAATGAATGATAAAGCTTCTTTTTGACCATTGAATTAGAAAAAAAGAAAAGTATTATGAATCTATCTAATAACATTCTGTTAACAAGACAGACTGTAAGGTTCCAATATTTATATGTTTATATTTAATTTGTTTTACGGTCGTATTTTGCTATTTTGTGTTCTGATTATTTGTCCTTTTCCCAAAGCCTCCTAAACCAGTTTACATTTTATATTTCAAAGAAAACTGTTTTTTAATAAAAAAAACAACTCTGTTTTTTTAAATCTAGAGTTTTTTTTTTTTAAATCTGTGCATTGTTTTTTGCAAATTTTTATTTACGAAGAAAGTTAAACATGTATGGTGGATCGGTACTACATATTTGAAAGCTCACCAACTAAAAAACCATATTGATAATTAAAATCGCCTACAGTTATTTATTACTAGTATATTCAATTGTTTCAGATTTCGAAATCAGAAATGTTTATCAGCAAAGTTGAGATCTGAATTAAGGACAAGAAGTATATTAACGTTAATTCTGTTTACAAACCATCTTTATACAACGGAAATTAGCTCTGCTATTTAAACAAATCCAGATAATGTGATAATGAAAGACAAGCTTTACTATAGATACAGTATATATCAAACATGTACCACCTGCAAAATAACTTTAATTGTTTCAAACTTTGTGACTGACATTACATAGAAGAGTAATCTTTTTTTTTTTTAATTTGCAAGTAAACAATTCACACTAAAATTATTGAATAGTGGCGATTCTACCATTATCGTATCGAGAGTGATGACAAAAAAAAAAAGGAAAAATGAGTCTAAATAATTGATCAATACTCGGATGGGTAAGATAACCTATGTATTCATGACTTAGAATTAAAGTAGTATACCCCACATCCGTTTTATACAGATATCATTTTACATATACGCACTCTATGCTCAAACTGTATCCCCTTATCCTCACTTCCCATTACCCTTTGCAATGTACCGGTACTTAGTGTTAGAGTGTAGAATAACCATTTTATACTTAAATAAAGTGTGCATTACAGGTGTTTTTTTCAATATTTTGTCACCAAACGATTGAAAATACTTAAAACTGATGTGAGCAAGCCATAATCTAACATGCCTATATCAGCTTTAGCCGAGTGAGTTGCAATTTTGATAACATAAAGATTGAGTAGAAGATGAAACTCATTGGATAAGAAGGTTGTTGGTGGTTCTTATTCTTATATATTTATGTTAAATAGTAACAAATTGACGGTATCAATTTTCCGGCAACAGATGTGTATTTCGACAATTAATTTCTCAGCTTCAGTGCACGGTGATGCGTTAGGCCAAACTATTTGAAATTCAAAAAACTTGATACAAACGTTGATAAAAGAGTTGATAAAACCATAAAAGGACAAAAGGTAAAATCAACTCAAGGTATCGACCCAGTGGCAGTAATATCAGTCACGGTACCAATATTCCTGCACTAGATACACATTTCGACAATTAATATCCCTTAAGTGATGATAAAGGCGAAAATATTTGAAAGTCAAAAACCTTAGACAACCATTGAAAAGCTGACAAAACAAAAAAAGGACAAAAATTAAAGACAAACGTGGAAAAGTAATCACAACTATACATGAGTTAGATACATCTACAAAAAAACGTGGACAAGTAATCACAACTATACAGGAGTTAGATACATCTACAAAAAAACGTGGACCAGTAATCACAACTATACATGAGTTAGATACATCTACAAAAAAACGTGGACAAGGAATCACAACTATACATGAGTTAGATACATCTACAAAAAAACCTGGACGAGGAATCACAACTATACATGAGTAAGATACATCTACAAAAAAAACGTGGACAAGTAATCACAACTATACATGAGTAAGATACATCTACAGAAAAATCTGGACAAGGAATCACAACTATATATGAGTTAGATACATCTACAAAAAAACGTGGACAAGTAATCACAACTATACATGAGTTAGATACATCTACAAACAAACCTGGACAAGTAATCACAACTATACATGAGTTAGATACATCTACAAAAAAACCTGGACAAGGAATCACAACTATACATGAGTTAGATACATCTACAAAAAAAACGTGGACAAGGAATCACAACTATACATGAGTTAGATACATCTACAAAAAAAACCTGGACAAGGAATCACAACTATACATGAGTTAGATACATCTACAAACAAACCTGGACAAGTAATCACAACTATACATGAGTTAGATACATCTACAAAAAAACGTGGACAAGGAATCACAACTATACATGAGTTAGATACATCTACAAAAAAACGTGGACAAGTAATCACAACTATACATGAGTTAGATACATCTACAAAAAAACGTGGACAAGGAATCACAACTTAACATGAGTTAGATACATCTACAAAAAAACGTGGACAAGTTATCACAACTATACATGAGTTAGATACATCTACAAAAAATTGGTCGAACGCATTTAATTTCACAATAACTTAAAAATATCAGAGAGGTTTCATTTTTTAACACACCACAAATACACTAAATTATGAATTTAACAACTTGTTGAGATAACAAAGCAGGCTCACTTATACACTGGAGAAGCCTTTATATCTATAATTATGAATAAGCTTATACCTTTCTACTAATACTACCGTCAGAGTTTTGAAAAAGCAAGCACATTGATGAGTCTTTTGATGACGAATAGCGCGTTTGGCGTACAAAATTATAAGTCTGGTATCTTTGATAATTTTTTTACACTCTGAAGGAACCGTAATTTACTAATTTACTTATTATGAATGAGCTTACCTTTCTATTGAAACTACCATCAGAGTGGTGATACTAGCGACAACACTAACATTTTGTAAGTAACTAGCACCTTTACACAGCGTTTCTCCCATTGTCCATTCATTTTTAACATAATAAACCAGCTGCATAGGAATGTTCCAAGAGGCTATGAGTGTGTCACTACCAGCCAGGGAAACTAGAAGTACGTTGGTTACTGATCTCATGGATTTATTTAACAGGATCACTGCAACAACTAGTACATTTCCTATGATTCCACCTATAATAATAAGGCTGTATGTAATTATCAAGGCAGTTTTCCAATTTTGACCCAAATCGTCCGGTAGTATATCATCAGGATCCGTGTGATTCCGTAGCCATTCCCATAACTCTCCCTCACTTGGTGTGTTGTTACTCATTGTTTCCGGGAAATCCACACGACTAAAGTTCCAAATTCTGCATAGCGGTATTTAAGATGATGATATATAATCATTGCCAAAGTAATTGCACTTGATAATTATTTACTTGATCTTTGATTTTATTAAAGAAACCATACTGACTTTGTACCAGAAAAGATAAATAGTTTTATTATGTTAATCAAAATATTAATTACTCTATCAATTCAAACATCTCGAGTTTCATAGCTGCTTCAGTTCCATATGCAAAAAGCTACCGCAAAATAACTCAACATCAAACTAATATGCTATTATTGTTTATGAAATATCTATAAATTCACATGATAAAAAAAGCCTGCTCTCGTTAAACAATAATTCAATCTTTTATTAGCTGATCTGCAGTCTACGAAACCAACTTTTATTTTTGGTATTTTATAATATATCTGCACGTATGAACTCTTTATAAACATGTGATAATTAGCTTTCTTGAATTAATGACGTCATCCGATTTTGTCCGTATGCTATTTGTACAGCAGGCAAATGGAAAGTTTCTCCGATATATCACTCCTCTAGACAGCGACAAATTATAAAACCAAACATTTTTTCCGTTTGAAATTTTCTTTCATTTCTGTTCTGCAAATGGTATTAGTGTAGTTTGTAATTTGTCACTATGCCCCGTAATACTTTCAGACGGCTATTTAATCCTACCAAATGGTGGATAATTCTGTGAAAATTACATAGGTGCATACAACTTTCCATGCAATGTTAGTTTTTAACAAAAACTTAACCATTATGCTATTCATCATTCGGTTCAGTTTTATATGTAGCTGAATTCATTTCATCACATATATTTTTGAATGTGTAATAACCAAGGTAATAACTTAACTAATGCCCTTGTTATATCAGTACCACGGAAACATGTTATCATGGCCTATCCTTGTATATAAGACGGCACATACGATAACGCGGGGCGAGCGAATTGCAACATTATACAACATAAGGAGAAAACTATCCACCAGGGATCAACGGACGAGGATGTTGACAGCTACAGTTAACCAAACGACCTTCAACAATGAGCAAAACCCATACCGTATAGTCTATAAAGGCCCCGGGTGACCAAATATTAAAAATAAAAATGAAAATATTTATGCTTAAAACAATTAAACGTCTGTTTTCAATATTCACATTTTCAATTGCTAAATTATGTAATTACAAATGTTGACGAGTTCAGTGAACGGTTTCGTCAAGTAGTTTTTTTTTTTATCTCGTTTGTCGGATACTCAAATTAGTCGGTTCAAGTCCAATTTGAATTTTATTTCAGAACAATGTGGTATGTTTTTAATTTTTAATTTTTTTAGTTTTTGTTTGAGTCCGAATTTATGTCCTTTCGGGACGTTCTGGTGCATTATTGCTCCGACCTTTTATTTGGTTTTAGTCTTATCTTTGGCAACCCAATCTTTAACTGGGCATGTAAAAAAAAGTCAAATAGTCTCTAGACACTAAACTATCCAGAGTTCTTCCCTCGATTCCACCAATTGTATTTGGGACCAGTCCACAGTCATAAAAAATTGTAATAAGTTTTCTTGTTAGAGACAAAACTTTTATATAACTATGACAATGTCATTGTTACTGTTAAAGCATCATTTTTCATATAAACGTTGTCTAATATAACAAGTAAGTAGATGCTTGTTAAAGATTGCTACGCCTTCATAAATTGACTTCCGACCAGCCAGCTTCGGGTCGCTTTCGAAAAAATGATTTCGCACGAGACAGATTGAAATCTAAGGAAGCGTATTAGCGCCACACAACTTTTTTATTTAATATTTCTTCCTATGTTTGCGTTAATAACGCAAACCTTTGCGTTATAACTCAAACCTTTTGCGTTATAACGCAAACCTTTTGCGTTATAACTCAAACATTTGCGATATAACGCAAACATTTGCGAAATAACGCAAACCTTTGCGAAATAACGCAAACCTTTGCGTTGTAACGCAAACCTTTTGCGTTATAACGCAAACATTTGCGATATAACGCAAACATTTGTTTTATCTTATTTCTTATTTTAGGTTCAAAGGAAGCAGCTGTTATTAATGGATGAGGCTGCATATATTAGAATTTATCACCCTTTGTACTCATTGCAAAGTAAAATGCTTGAATATTTAGAACATATCATTGATTAATAAAGAGCAGGATAATAGATGTATATATATCACAAAGAAAATTGAGTAAATTAAAGTTATAACGATAAAATAAAAAATCAACCCTGCTAAAATAGCTATAAAAATACCTCCAAAGTAAGCTCTCGTTTAAGATTTTTTCTGAATAATTCATTTTAAAGCAGAAAGATCAATTTGTCTATTTGAATTGATAATTTCACAATTGTATGACATTATTTTGCCCTGATCTACTTAATCAAAATTTTCAAATTTTGTCCTTTCAATTAAAATATGCCTATTTCTTTGTTAAATTATATAATTTTCTGATACAAAAACCATTCTTCATTTGTGTATAATTGCACTTTAAGTATTCCCTTATTCCTATGCATATTTATAAGTAATGATTTGGCCTTGTATTTATGGTTCTTCTATTAACTAAATCACAACCGGAATTTAATGACAGAAGGACATAATACAAAACTTAATGAATAATTGCAATCAAAATGTTTGCGTTATAAAGCAAATGTTTGCGTTATTTCGCAAATGTTTGCGTTATATCGCAAAAGTTTGCGTTATTTCGCAAAGGTTTGCGTTATATTGCAAAGGTTTGCGTTATAACGCAAAGATAGGAAGAAAAAATAAAAAAATAATTGTGTGGTGCTAATACGATTCCGTAGAAATCAATTGTTATTTTTTCAAAAATTATTTTTTACGTTTGCAAACGGTCTCTCTTAAAAATCAGTGAAATAATTTGTGTTGTAGGCAACAAAAAATCAGTCTTTAGGGAGTACTCTGCAGTTGAGGTAACTTCCAGAAATGCAACCCAAAAGATCAATCCTTGGACCTTATTATTCCATATTTTAATGAACGACATATTTAATTTTAATGAACAAGTCACCCTTTAAAACTATGCCGATGGTAATATCTTGCCCTATGCTGTTGTTGGTTTTAAAATAATGTAGATGTACGTATTTCTCTTCATCTGCTGTAATACTGACCGCCTTCCTTAGTCTTAAGAGATTGTAGTTGTGAAATCAGTAGGCAAAGGGAACTGGAATAAGGAAATAAGTGATGCCTCCAAAACGTCAAAAAGTGATTTTATTAGCGAAAAAATGACCGACTTACATCAATTAAAAGAGTAGAATGAGAAGTACAACGAAAACTCTTAGGAGTGCTCAGAGTAGAGAGCATGTCTGTAAAAGAAACAGCCTTATGAAAAAAAAATATTATGCGATCCGCACAGAACGATACAAAGCTCTTTCATAAACATGTGTGACAGCAACGTTACAAGAAAACCGTGGCAACTGATACCATGGTCTTTTAAGGATGAAGAACAATCTGAGAGTGAGCACCTCCTCAACGGATAATAAAGACACTTTGAGAAATTTTAGAAATATAATGAAGTTGATTCACAGAAATTTAATTGTGAAAAACTTACTAGTATCCTTAAGCTAGCATGTGACTTTTCAAAATGATGTTTTTGAGAGAAAAAAAAAGAAACAGGCTGGAATGAAAAAATTGAATACACTAATTTTTAGAGATCAAAGACAAACTGAGAAATTTAAAAAAAGAAGAAAATATCGAGGACCAGACTAGTATTCGGCGGAACATTATAAAGACATGTCAGATGAACTTTTACCTCTACTTATTGACATTATAAACAGTATTTTGAAAAACAAGGATGTGCCTCAAGTTGACAAAGAAGGAGTTATTACACACATGTACGCAAACCTGGTAAGAATGAATTATATCCTAAGAACTACCGAGGAATCACAGTAACACACATTATGTCAACGCTTTTATATTGCATCCTAAAAGAACGTGTAGAGCCAAATCTTCTAAAATCACAGAGCATGCTCCAGTGAGGATTCACTCAGAACACACCATCTCTTGTTGCCACATTCAAAGTATTTGAGACAGGTGAATACCACAGAGAAACACTTGGCTTCTCTTACAAAACGTGAATCGCAATGTTATTGTCAAGGTCAAATAGAACAACAACCGGTCTGATGAGTTTGTACAAGAACTCGGAGTACGACAAGGAGCAAAGTTATCTACAGTAAATTAAGGCGACAGTATTGTACATAAGAAAAGACAAATTAAGGTAACAAACAAAAAAGGGGTAAATTGCATAAACTCCAAAAGATACAAGACCGGGTGCTTTGACAGGGTAAGCGTCTCCTACTCTGCATGCATCGCCAGCCATGCGAATTCACACTCAGTCAAAATAGGATACAATAGGTTATATTTCAGATCAGACGACTTTACAGGTATCTAAATCTCTAAGACCGCGATAACATGTTGCTAGTGAGTTGAGACACCGACACATCGTATCGACCAACCAGTTCGTGATGGTGACCATAAACTTGTGTAGTGTATAAAAGATAGAATAATACCATTCTATAAGCCCTACAGAGACAGTTAGGCGCGTCAATAGGATATAAGTGTTGCAGCTCTTGCATACGCCGACGACATTGCCTTATTCGCAGGAATATATATGAAGCTCAGGCACTTCTTAACATTGTTCATAGCCTTACTGCACAAGATCTAGTTGTAATCAATCTAAGTCTGACATAGTAACACTAAAATTTTGTTATCATAAATTCAAAGCTTTTTTTAGGAGAAAAAAAAAACAAAAAAAAAATGGTTTGATTCGTACCTTAAGACAGTAACTTGAAAATTGAAAACAAAAAATAGCAAAACGAACTATTTATGCACTTCTTTAACTATAGGATTACACGCTTGCAAGGGAATGGCATCGTTAGTAAAAAAAATTATAAAAAGACAATCGGTCATGTCATAGGAACAATCAAATTCGTTTATATGCAGATTTTGGACTGCTTTTGCAAAATATGAGCTACCAACAGCTGAGAAACTGATGGAAACTTCATCTACCAAGAAGAAATGGCAATTAAACATTTTATTGAAAATT